GAGGATTGTGCTATTCTACACGGTGTAACAGTACTTGGATGTATCGATTTCACCACAACTGTGTCAGCACAGAGTTTTACCATTTTAAAATGATACCTTAAAGTTGCTTTTGTTTTCACTCCTTTGATTAATATTGAGGAGGAACATTATTCCCCATTTTTCACTTTGTTTTTCCTCTTTTGTAAAGTATTTGTTCCTTTCTTTATCCAGTCATTTTTGAGAGTGAGAAATTCATTTTTATAGAAATGGCCATACTGTTGATACCAGTATCAACTCTGGGAATATTACAACTTCTACTTTTTCATTTGATCCTACAAATTCCTGGGAGGAAGGCAGAGTGGGGAATAGGATCCAAGTCACAGAGCAAGGGAACTGGGCTCAAAAGTCCGTGCAGCTACTAAGAGGCAGTTCTTCTGTCTGGCACTTTTTCTTGCACACTACAGTTATTTTTTTAAAATAACAGTTTACTGGGATGTAATTCACATTCCATGCAACTCACTCATTTAAAGTACACAAATTAATGTTTTTTAGGACATTCATACAATGGTGCAACCATCACCACAATTTTAGAACACTTCATCGCCCCCCAAAAGAAACTCTGCACCTGCTAGCACTCACTGTCGTGTCAGATGGAAGCAAAAGTATTTTTAAGCTTGGAGAAAAGCGATGGTGGGGGGGGTTGTGGGGGGGGCTGCATAGGGAAAGTGGAGGCTTAGGCTATGCCATGGATTTGCTATGTGACCACAGGTCACTTCCCTCTCGGGTTCTTGGTTTCCCCTAATACAAATAGGTATTTATCAAGCACCTGCTGTGTGCCAGGCTCCAGGCCAGGCATGTCACAGATATGCATGACCATTCTCTCTAAACTGGGGTAAGAAGCCCAACTTTACCCAAGAGGGGAACCAAGATCAAGAGCAGAGACATGGTCATTTGGGTCCCTATGCTTGTTGGTCACAGAGAGGGGCCTGGAATGGAGGGTGGGGCTGGCCTTGACTCCCAGCTCAAGGCCTCTACATCAGCTGCCTCTGGCTTCAGGAGCTTCCCCGGTGACAGGTGGGGACAGGTGGGCACAGGTGGGGAGAGGAATAGGAGAAGTGAGGGGGGCTGGAACCAGCTTGGCAAGAAGTAGTTGCTTTGCTCTCCTGTGGCCATAATCAGTGGTGTGGGTGGCAGGCGTGGGGTCCACTAAGCAGAATCCTCTTCCCACAGCCCCCCATACCAAGCCCCCAGGCACACACACCCCAACCTTAGAGTCACAAGTGTCTGTCTGCATGTGCCTAGATCTGTTAGATCATTCCGTCAGTCCTTCAACAAACACAAGTGCTCACTCTGTCAGGCCCTGTCCCTGGCGCTGGGGGTGGTGGGGGACGGGGAAGGGAAGGGGCGGTGGCGAGGAGGAACGGACAGGCAGACAGTTCCCCAGCATTTATAGGGATCTGGGGTTCCGGAAACAGTTTAATGTTGGGGACAGGGAAGGCATCCTAGAAGGTCTAAGCTGAGACCTGAAAAATGAGTAGAAATGAGCCACAAAGGACTCGGAAGAGGGGGGCTCCTGCCTATTCCTAAGCAAAGGGAAGAACATGTGTGAAGGCGAACAGACAGATGTTCCCTCTGGCTATAGGCTGGGCTATGGAGTGTGATGGGGAAGACGCACAGTGAGGGAGTACAGGGGACAGAGAAGGATCGTGTTAGTCACATGCGGACCTTGGACTTTCCTGGAGCACCAGGGAGCCACAGAAAGGTTTTGAGCAGGGGAGGGACAGGAGCAGATGGAAATTTCACAGAGCTCATTCAGCCTGCTGAGTGGAGAAGGGGCTGGAGTGGCTAAGAGGGGAGGCAGGCTGGTTCCGGGCACATCCAGTGTCTCTGGAATCGGAGTGTGCAGGGGTGGGGGTAGGGGAAGGGACTCTTATCTACGGAGCAGGAGCCAGTCACCACCAGAGAAAACTGACAACTGGGTCAGGGTGTGGGGCTCCCCCAACCCTGATGCTCACACATCTCTCCTCCCAGCCACCCTTTATGTCCCTGAGAAGAGCGGGTGATTCTCTACCTTCTGTGTGAGAAGACACAGGGTACAGAGACTTGCCCAGGTCACAGAAAAGTTGGTTGATGGCCAAGTTCCAATTCTGTTGGATCTGTGGCAACCCCAAAGTGACAATGTCCCAGCGGCCAACTCCTCCTTCCAAAATTCCTATGCTTGCACTATGGACAACTTAGCTGAGCGGACAGGGCAGGGCCAGGCCCCAGGATGAGCACACCCCTGGCTGCCCCCATGGCCCCCCACCCCATCTACAATGAGCCCAGGGACCCCGATGGCTATCACTCACTCACAGCCTCCAGGCCCTATCTAGGGAGACAAGAGGCCTGTCAGAACCACTGCCACAGGCATGATGAATGGCTCTAGGCTGCCAGTCAGACAATACCCAGGCTCTGGGGCGGAGAGATTAGCCTAGAACAGGGCGCAAACGGCTGAGGGTCCATGGAGGCCCTCCCCAACACCCCCCCCACCCCCCCCAGCCCCGTACTTAGCCATCTCCAGGAGTGACTCTTAGGAAATGTGACCCCACTGAAGGGAGTTGTCCCAGAGCCCCCAGGCAGGGGTGTTACCAAGGCTGGGAAGGTTGTAACTCAGGCGACAGGGGAGAGATTGGGGTTGGGACAGGAAGGCGAGGCATACAAAGAAGGCTAGGAGAATTGGGGTAGATCCACCCCACCCACAGAGAGAAAGAGGCAGACCTGGGGTTCACCTCTTCCTTGCTGTGTGGAGCCCTGTGTTCTCTCTGGGCTCAGTTAGCACATATGTAAAAATGGGACCCTCAAGGGTCCCTGTCTTGAACGAGAGTGCAAATGTGGGAGGGTCCACCAGGGCCAGGCAGCAAGGGCTCCATCCTGGGCAGGGTGTGGGTGGGCCACAAAGACAAGGGACAGCCAAGTCCTACAGACATTCTGTAGGCCCAGGAACCCGGGAAATGCTCAGAACTCTGCTCCAATGGGGACCTCCTATCTCCCAATTTCATTTTGAAAATTCTCAAACCTGGAGAAAGCTAGAAGTGCACACTTGAACACCAATATCAACAAGGGTAGTCCCTTCCCCTACCCCCACCCCTGCACACATTCCCTTCCCTTTTCTTTTAAAAATAAACCATCATATGGGGCGGCTGGGTGGTTCAGTGGGTTAAACGTCTGCCTGCCCTCAGCTCAGGAGAGATCCCAGAGTCCTGGGATCAAGCTCAGCAGGGAGCCTGCTTCCTGCCCCCCCCTCATGCTCTCTCATGCTCTCACCCTCAAATAAATAAATAAAATCTTTAAAAAATAAAAATAAAAACCATCATAAGATGGTAAACTTTGTTCTATGTATTTTACTACAATAGAAAAAATTGGGGGGGGGCACCTGGGTGGCTCAGTCATTAAGCATCTGCCTTCGACTAGGGTCATGATCCCGGGGCCCTGGCTCCCTGCTTCTTAGGAAGCCTGCTTCTCCCTCTCCCGCTCCCCCTGCTTGTGTTCCTGCGCTCACTATCTCTCTGTGTCAAATGAATAAAATCTTTAAAAAGAAAAAAAGTGGGAAAAACTCCCCTAAACCATTGTGTTGCCAGCAGGCTATTGGAACAACTGTAAGGGAAGTTTTTGGTTTTTATTTTTTAAAGATTTTATTTATTTGAGAGAGAGCGAGAGAGCATGAGAGGGGAGAGGGTCAGAGGGAGAAGCAGACTCCCTGCTGAGCAGGGAGCCCGATGTGGGACTCGATCCTGGGACTCCAGGATCATGACCTGAGCCAAAGGCAGTCGCTTAACCAACTGAGCCACCCAGGCGCCCTGTAAGGTAGGTTTTGACAAGAATGATAAACGTACTATACGCCTGGTACAAGCCACAGGCTTCGTCATCGTCACTTAAATCACACAGCAGCCCCTTGACTTGTGTACTATAATCCACGTGTTACAGATGGGGAAACTGAGGCTCAGAGAAATTAGCCAACGTCTCTTGAGTCAGTCAAGATGAACTTGGATGTGTCTGAACTCCCTCCCAAGCAGGAAGCCCCGCTAGGAAGACAAGAGAGCGCCTCCAGGGGCGCCTGGGTGCCTCAGTCGGTTAAGCGTTAAGCGTCTGCCTTCGGCTCAGGTCCTGGGATCGAGCCCCTGGGATCGAGCCCCACGTCGGGCTCCCTGCTCAGTGGAGAGCCTGCTTCTCCCTCTCCCTCTGCCTGCCGCTCCCCCTGCTTATGCTCTCTCTCTCTGTCAAATAAATAAATAAAATATTAATTTAAAAAAAAGAGTGCCTTCGGTCCCAGCCGCAGACCCCTCCTACTGGGAGCTCCGCCTCTGCGTCCCTCCCCCTTCCCTTAGCCTCCCTCTGCTCCCGGCCCCACCACCAGGCCCAGGCTCTGCCCTCAGAGGCCAAAACCTTTTCAGTTTAATTCCCCCCCACCTCACACACAGAGGGCCTCCCCGGACCACCTTGGCCTTACCTTTTGAATGTCCTGGATGAAGACCCAAAGACCCAGATTCAAGGCTGGGCTCTGCCCCTCACTGGCTGCCTAACTTGGAGAGAGCCCTCAGTCCTTATCAGGAAAATGGGTATGACGGCCCCTCCTCACAGTGGGTTAAAGGTAAAGGAGAGGAGGCCCGTAGGGGGCCAGTTCTGGGTACTTAATGCTCCTTCCTTTCCCACCGTCCAGGCGGAGGTGGGGTTGGGGAAGTCCAAGTTTATTTGGAATCCAAGCCTCACAGGTGGCCCCTTGTAATCGAGTGACTTCACCTGTGAGTCGTGGGGAGAAGCATAGCAAGTCCCGTCCAGGAAATGAGGAACTCCCGGCGGGGGCGCCCCACGTGCGCGCGCTGCCACGGCTCGGGCCGGTGGGCGCCTGGCCAGTCCGGCGCGCGCAGGAGGGCGGGGGTCCCTGACTCTAAGCCTCGGGGGCCGAGGGGCGGGGTCTCCTAGTCCCGCCCCGGCCCCGCCCCGCGCCCGCGGGTTCCCGTGCGACGCACAGAGCTAGCGCAGGGATGCAGCCGGGGGACCTCGTCCCCGAAACACTTCGCAGCGGGTGAGCCGGCCGTAGGCGCCGGGCCAGACGGAGCAGGTGAGGAGCTCGGCTCTGAATAGGGGAGGGATCAGCGCGGGTGAAGGGGGGCGGGAGGGCTTGTCCTGGTCCATCAGCCTAGGAGGGATTTCCCCACTGGCTCCTCGCGGAGGAGGGATACGCAGTGTCGGCCTGGACTTCGCATCTCCCTCTTGGGTGCCAACGGTGAGCAAGGAAGGTGGGGCAAGGAGTTTGTGGGGGGCAAATACAGGCAAATGTGAACAGGGGAATGAGGCGGCCAGCATCTAATGAGCCCATACTATGTACCCAGCACAGGCTAGAGACCAAGCCTCAGTCTTGGACCAGACTCCTACCATTCCACACCCACTGAAGGGGGGGGGGGGTTCAGGTGCTGTTTAAAAAGGGAAAAGTGGAGCGCCTGGCTGGCTCTGTGGGTAGAGCATGCAACTCTTGATCTCGGGGTGGTGGGTTCAAGCGCCACCTTGGGTGTGGAGCCTACTTAATTAAAATAAATATATAAATAAAAGGGGGGAAAGTGACAATAAGTGCTTCTCAGAATCCAAAGTGTGAACCCCCATGTATTCCTGTGTGGGGATGTGTTTGATTTTCACACTTAGGCCCTTTATCTGGAAAGGGGGAAAGGGTATGAATTATCACTGGTGATGGCTCCAGACGTCCAGATGGCATGAGGCCAGCTGGCAGGACACAGAGGAGCATTCTTTGTTCTCCAGCGGTTTCTGGGACCCACTGATGCTTGGTCACTGTTGAGAAAGAGACCCAGGAAGCCTGAAGCCCCCCCAGACTGCTAAGAGTGACCCCCAAACCACCCACGATTCGGGTATCCTCAGCTCACTACAGCGCGTGGCCATGGCAGGCCAGCCATCGGTGCAGGGTGGAGGCAGTGATCACAGACCGATCCTGTAGGAGGTGCTGAGGGAGTGGGAGGCCAGCCCAGGCAAGAGGGAGAGTACACTCAAAGGTCTTAGAAGAGATGCTGCCCGGAGAAATGGGAGCAGCTTGGGGGACAGGGGACAGGTGAATGCAGGGGGGTAGGGGGGAGGTGGATAGTGAGACCGGTGAGGCCAGCGAGCTCAGCAGAGGCCTCATGAAGCAGAGACTTCGTGAAGCAGAGCCTTGAATGCCAAGCTCTGAGCCCAAAAGAACACAAGGAAGCCTAACAGGGATCCCGTGCTCTGTTTCCACCTCTCTCTGGCCAGGCTGGGGCTGCTGCCTTCCCTCCCCACCCCCCAGCCGTTCCCAGCTCACCAGGGCTACAGCGTTCCCCAGCTGTGGTCCTAGAAGGGGCTCCTGGAGACCATCCTTTTGTGCAAGTAAACGTCAAGTAGATGTGCCCAGCCCATCCTGGGCTCCCAGCCCAGTAAGATCCCGGGAGCCAAACAGGGGGGAATATGACCCCGTAGGAGACAGAGGGGGTAGTAAGGCAGGACGCTGAGCTACTTTCCTTTGCTTCTTTCCTTCTTCAGTCCACAGTGGCCACATCTGTGACCCTTGCTGTCCCTCACCTGCCCCTGCTGGATCCAGAATGGCCTCCTGGTGCTACTGCGTCCTCTACCTCCTGGTACCTGAACCTGGGGGATGGTGGGGGAGGCGGCCATGGGGACTCAAAGCTTCTGGGTTCCAAGTGGGCACCTCTGAGGTCATTGCGAAGGTCACATGAGATAAGCTCTTAGCAATAATAGAATAAAAGCATCCACTGGTGCTGCACCTTTTACATTCACTCATCAGCTTGTTTATTCCTCACACAGTCGGGGTAGGGGGCGGGGGACTGGACAGGCTCAGGGCAGTGAAACGCCCTGCCCAAGATCCACCCTGGGGGGAACTTGAACCCAGGTCTGACTCCAGAGCTTGCAGCTTCCAATGCATCCTGCCGGAGCACACAGTAGGTATTCAATAACTGACCTGACCCAGCCCCGACCTGTCCTCTTCTTTCTCAGATAAGGAGTCTCTCTGGGACCCCCTCCAACTCACCAGCTGAATTAAGGAGCTCCTGGGTGACAGGTTGGTTTGAGGGCCCCAGAGGGGCTCCCCCTTCCCCCAGCTCAGCCAGCCTGTGGTCCACCTGGTGCACTGACCTCTAAGGCAAGGGAAGGAGAAAGATGCCATTTAGTTCAACCCCATCATCCCGGGCCCTGGGCTGAAGGTTTCACTTGTGTCCATCTTATTCTTGCCACCAGACAGATGACAAAACAGGCTCAGCAAAGGGACTAGACCTGCCAGGTCACAGAGCATTCAGCCCTGAATGACTTCTAGTTCAATGTCCGTGGCCAGCCCCACTCCAAGGGTCACTTGCGCACACACTGCTCTCTCACACCGCCTCTCCTCTGACCCTGCAGCTCCAGTGGGCCCCGGTGAGGTGGTGGAGACTACAAATGGGGTGTGCAAGTTTCCAGGGCAGCAGCTGAGCTGGTGGCAGGCTCAAGAGTCCTGTGAGCAGAGGTTTGGCCACCTGGCACTCGCGCCCCTGCCTGAGGTCCTTGCTCCACGGCTGCCCAACCCCATCTGGGTGGGCCAAAAAGAAGCCCTTCTTCGGAGACCCCCAAAGAGACGTGAGTGTGGGCCCAGGGCCTGGGAGGAGGAGGTAGGGGGCAGAGGCTTTGACGACTTCCAGAGATGGAGCCCACAGTGACAGTCCCCTTGGGTGGAGCCCAGAAGTCCCCGTCGCATCTCCAGGTTCCCTTGTCCTGGACTAAAATATAGGGTTGACCGCCTGGGTATGGGCCCTGGAGCCCCCATTTCTTCCTTCCCGAGAGAGGGAGCTACCCCAAAGCCCAGAAGGGACCCTGCAGCTGCGCCAGTGGGTAGCCAGAGGCTGTGCGCAGCTGGGGACACTGAGGTCCCGGCCCGCGTGTTCCCGCAGACGCGCTCACCATGGCCGCGCTGGTGTTCGGGGAACGGACTGCGGACAAGGCGGCGAGGCTGCGGACACCCCTGCCCGCCCCAGAGGCGCTGACTGCGTGCGCGCACGTGCAGCGGGACGCCGCCTCGCCCGACACGGCCGTGCTCTTCTCCCTCGCGGCGCCCGCGCTGCCCAACGCGCTGCAGCTGCGCGCCTTCGCCGAGCCGGGATAAGCCGTGCACGCGGCGCTGGCGGTGCGCGGCCACCACGCGCCCTTCCTCGCCGCCTTCCGCGCTGACGGCCGCTGGCACCACGTGTGCGGCACGTGGGAGCAGCGCGGCGGGCGCTGGGCGCTGTTTGCCGACGTGCGGCGGCGCGTCGGGGCGCGGGGACTGGGCGCGGGCCACCCGGTGCCAGCGGGCGGCATCCTCGTGCTGGGCCAGGATCAGGACTCTCTGGGCGGCGGCTTCTCGGCGCGCGATGCCTTCAGCGGCAACCTCACCGGCTTCCACGGGTGGGCTCGAGCGCTGAGCCCCGCGCAGCTGCGCCTGGCGCGGGCCTGCGCGCCGCCCCCCGGCGGCCTGCTCTTCCGCTGGGCCCTGCGCGCCCTGGACGTCACGCCCTCGCTGCTGCCGCCCCTGCGGGTGCGCCCTCTCTGTCCCGGTACGGCCCGCCCCGCCCTCTGGCTGCTAGGCCCCGCCCCACCCTGCGGCTCAACGCCCCGCCCCCTGGCTCCTGTAAGCGGCCTTCTGAGCTCGCGACCCAGCCCACCTTTTGCGAACCTGGCCACGCCCAGCTCTGGTCACGCCCTCCCCAAGCGGGTCGGGCAAGTGCCCGGTCCCAGTAGCCTGAGTAGGTTCACCGCGTAGCCTCCTTGACCGCCCTTGTGCTGGCCTCAGCGCCCTTCACCCGGGTTCCCACGTTGCCCCCTAATTCGGGGGCTGTGCGTGCTGGCCCCCTACGGTGTACAGGTGCCTTCAAGGCCCGAACAGGCCGGTGGGTCACAGGGGCTGCTTGGGAGCCAGGTACATCCCTGACACCTGTCCCATCCCTGCCAGTGCCGTCAGAGGAGTGCCCTACGTGGAACCCAGGATCCCGTACCGAGGGCTCTTTGCTCTGCCTTCAACCACGGCCCTTCCTCTGCTGCTACCAGACAGGTGAGCCCTGGCAGTGCCTGGGGCCCTGCTGAAGGGGAAGCCGGGTGTGGACCAGTGCAGGCCAAGGGGGAGGGAGCAGTTGGTACAAACTGGGAATTCAGAATCTTCTTAAAGTCTCAGGGCCTCCACAGAGTCCAAACCACAGGACAGTGGGGCCAGACAGACCCGGAGGTGAATCCCAGCTGTGTGTCCTTGGGCAAGTGATTTTGCCATTGTATGACTCAGTTTCCCCATCTAGAACACTGTATGGTTCGAGAAACACAGCTGCTAATATGCTCTTCCTCCCTGGGCAGCAAATGGTGGATGGGGCACCCCTGGGCCGTGTTGCTTGGGACCCAGCCTGGCATCCATCCTCTCCTTTGCAGAGACTTATCAGCGGCTGCAGGATGCCCGGTCGTGGCCTGGCCAGGATGTTATCAGCCGAGTCAATGCCTTGGCCAACACCATTGTGGTGAGCCCCCCTTCCAGGGGGCTGAAGAGTCTGGGGACACTATGGGTCACCTCCCTGCACCTCAGTTTCCTCACCTATAAAGGGGACACCCACCTAACATGTCTTCAGCAATTAAGGTTGTTCATATTCCCTATTTTGGAGCCCTTGAGAGCTGGGGGCTTGTGATACGTTTGACATGTGCCCACCAAGAAGACCCTAGTGGGGCCCAAGCGGGGCCCCTGGGAGGTCCCTCCTAACAGCCAGACCAGCTGTAAGTGGCTTCTCTGCCCACAGCTCCTCCCGGACCCTCTCTCTGAAGTCCATGGACACCTGTCGCCGGCTGAGGCCTCCAGCTTCCTGGGTATCCTGGAGGGAGACCTGGCAAAGGAGGCAGCTCCCCTGGGGCCTGCTGCATTGCTGGTACCTGCAGTACAGTGAAGTTCAAGACCGGGTCATGCTCACTGGCCGCCACGTGGTTCGAGACGTGAGCTGCAAGAACTGCAATAGCAAACTGGGATGGATCTATGAGTTTGCCACTGAAGACAGCCAGCGCTATAAGGAAGGCCGTGTGATCCTGGAACGCGCTCTAGTACGAGAGAGTGAGGGCTTTGAGGAGCACGTACCATCTGGTAACTCTTGAAGAAAAATTGATAACTCCATCTTTTCCCAGGTCTCCTTCACTGAAAACAAAAATCTACTTACATACACTGTCACCTTAGCATCAGGGTCGGATTCATGAACTGCGGAACAAGAAGTTGTGAGAATCTAAGATGGAACCTTTCTTTCTTTCTTTCTTTCTTTCTTTTTTTTTTAATTTTCAATGTTCCATCCAGCAGCAGTGTGTAGAGAGAATATTATGCAGATGCCGTTAATTTTTTTTTCCCTATGTTTACATCTTGAGGCAGAATAGTCTATCTGCAGCTACATGATGGGCTATGTGAGGAAAAAAAAATCTGGGCTGTTAGAGTGAAAAAGTGTGTTTTATGTAAATTTTGAAAGGAAAATGTGTCAAGAGCATGGTTTTTAAACTTATTTGGGCTTCATTTAAAAAAATGTTTTTTAAACCCAGTTATTTCACTTGATTTGCTAGCTTCAGGGAAGAGACCCGACTTTGTGACCAGCGCTAAAGGTTCAGTGTTAGTATGGCTTGTGCTGGCCGCTGTGCCATATTCTTGTTGGAGATGAACCGTAGCACCAGAGCCCATCCTTCCTTGTCAGTCATGACCCAAAGATGTCACCGTTCCTAGTTCTCTGTCACCACATAATTGGTGTTGATTGGAAACTTTTCCTGAAATGGGGCAGAACTGCTTGGTTGTCTTTTCCATGTAACTTAAGCATAGTAATATAAATAAAGTAATAGTTGGAAAAAAAAAATGCCGCATTGCATTCACTTTCTAAAGAGGGTGACAGCCCTCGGGGCCGGGGAGCCAGAGCCCTTAAGAGGGCCCTGGGAGCAGCTAGGCCGGGGCATCGTGTCCGTGGTCAGCCTGGTCCTGGAGGAGCAGTTGGCTGGAGCGTGGCTCTCAGTCAGCAAGGTGAGGCTGGCAGGGCTGGGGGAGGAGGGCCAGGGGGCCTGGGCTCCAGCTCCGTCCTTCCCTCCAGCTCATGTGGCCATGGGCCAGTCAGCACCCATTGCTGCACTCTAGCTCTCCATCCATCAAAAGAAGCTCCTCTTAAAAAAAAAAAAAAAAAAAAAAGATTTTATTTATTTATTTATTTATTTGAGAGAGAGATCGAGAGAGCACAAGCAGGGGCAGCAGCAGAGAGAGAGGGAGAAGCAGGCTCCCTGAGCAGTGAGCCTGATGTGGGGCTTGACCTCAGGACTCTGGGATCCTGACCTGAGCTGAAGGCAGACACTTTAACCAACTGAGCCACCCAGGCGCCCCAGAAGCTCCTTTTTTGTCTATTATAGAAGTTGAACTTCCACACACAACCACTCTTTAATAATTTCTGCAGTTGGAAATAAGAGCCACTAATCCATAAGGATCTCCCCCATATCCACGAATCTGGCGACCCCCTTAAGAGGGAGGTCTTCTATGCTGGGCGTTCAGCCATCTTGTCTTCCAAAACAGCCCAGATGCTCAGGAGAACAGGAGAGCTGCTCTCCAGAGAAGTTGTCCCATTACTGCACACCCTCGCCCGCCCATGCCTGGGCCTCACCCCCCACATGGCTTCTCTTTTGGAATCTAAAGGTTGAGCAACTTCTGTAGGCCTAGCACTGAGACCAAAGAAGGGGGAGGCACGAACCCCGCTTCAGAGTGTGCCCAGTTGGCCAACGACCAGCCGGTAGGCACAGAGCACTGGGAGGCCTTCGCCTGGGCTGGGCGATGATGTGGCTCAGGAGAGGCTCGGAGAGGTCAGAGGAGGCCCATCGGGCCAGACCTTAACACCAGCCTGAGGACCCAGGACTTGATCCTGGAGGCCCAGAGGAGCCACCAAGCACCTGCATCAGGGAGGCCGCTTCACCGATCGATCGCTGGGAATGCGTTCACCCCAGCGGGCAGAGTCGGGGGGCAGCAGGGTGCGGAGCAGGAGGGAGCTGACATGAGGCTCGTCCCAGGTGGTCGGCGGCCCCATGGCCCTGGTGGCAAGTGTACAGTGCCTGGCGCCCCTGCTGAGCACCGTGCTGACTTCCGAGCGGCCCCGACTGCACATCCAGCGCCGGCGAGCCGGTGAGCCTGCTTAGCCACCCATCCCACGCAGCTGGGCCCTGCGCGGGGCTGAGGCTCAGACGTCTCTTCTCAGCCTCCATCACTTCCATTCTGTTTCCTGCCTTTGCCCGAGCCCTGCCCTCCCTCCAGATGCCCTCTCTCCCTTGACCTCCAGCAAACTCCTATCTATCCCTCAGAACCTTGCTGGAGCATCAACGCCTCCAGGAAGCCTTGCCTGGTTTTAGCTCTCTCCTGACAGTCAGTTCCTCCTTCCACTGTCACCCCGGCGGCTCAAACATATCTCTTGTTGCATTTGTAGTAATGACCTCATTCCTCCTGAAGCCCCCTGAGTGCCAGGACCATTTCTGAGTCATGTCTGCATCTCAGGCCAGACCTAAGTACACACTCAGTGAGGGTTTGTAGATTGACTGGGGCGCGTATGGTGGAACTTTGGCAAAACCTGTGTCCTTTGGGCGCCTGGTGGTTTCTGGGGGCACATTGATATTCGGTTCCTGGCCCCCAGGGACCTGCCTCTCAGTGATCCCCTGCCCTGGACTTGAAGAAGTCAGACTTACCTTGGGCAAGGTGCTGAGCCTCTCTGAGCCGGATTAGTGGCCTGGACCTGTGGCCGGGAGAGGGGAGGCAGACCCTGCCGATGGGGGCCAGCTGAGCAGAAAGACCTCCCTCCAGAGGTCCAGCCACCCAGCCCCGTCTGATCCCAGGTCTGGAGGTGCAGAGCCTACACTTGAGGGATGCCAGCAAAGAGGGCTATGTGTTCACGATGCCCCATGGGCATCCGGAGGGGCCCGGCCACATCCGCATCCCCCCAGGTGAAGTGAAGCAGCTCCTCGGGAAAGGTGGGTAAGGGGGAGGGGGTGGGGAGTGGGTCCCCCGAGGGGTCTGGGTCAGCCCTCGTGTTGCTAACTCTGCTACTTTGAATAAGTCACCTCACCGTTCAGAGCCTGTTTCCTTATCTGTAAGACTGTCTTCTTTGTACTTGCCTTATGGGTTGTTAGGAGGTTAAAAGCACTTGTCACATAGTAGGTGTTCACTGAGTCTCCTCCACTGAACTCCACACATTTCCTCTTGGAAGTGGGTGGTGGAGGGAGCCTCCACCCTTGCTGCCCCCCGGAACCAGAAGATCAGGACATGGAGCCAAAAGCCTTAGAGCTGTCAGGTTAAGTGCATGAACCATGGCTGGTTGGAATTCCAGTTCTACCACCTATTAACTGTGTGATCTTTGGGAAGGCAGTTAATCTCTATGATCCTCAGTTTCCCATTCTGTAAGGTGGGTAGAGCAGCTCCCTCGGGGCCAACCCATGGCACTTGCTCAGTCACAGGGTGGGGTCTTGGCCCCCTCCCCTTCAGCCAGGTCTCTCCAGAGTCACCGTGATCCACAGCTGGTTCAGCTCAAGCGTCTTCCAGCACACCCTAGGGGAGCCTGGCCTAGAACCCCAGGCCTCTGACAGCTCAGAAGAGGCAAGCAAGACGCAGAGGTGAGTGGGCCCCATCCAGTAGGCTGCTGAGGGTCTGGATCCCCTCCCCAGAGAAGGCCAGGCCTGCATCCCGTCCCAGAGCCCTCATTCTGATAGGCAAATCTGCCTTTAGCAGCCAGGACCAAACCCTTCCCTTCCCCAACACACACAGTCTCTCTGGGCCTGCCAAAGGCGTGCCCCTGGAACCTGGCTTGACGACGGTCTGGGGTCCTGGCTTCGGTACTGAGACTCAGTCAGAAGGCAGGGCTTACTGAATTTACTAGCAAGTCCCCGCAGCAAAACTGGAACCCATGTGCCCTAATTCCAAGCACAGGACATTTCCTGATGTTTCTTTGGACACAAAGGGTATCATCTCCCCCTCTCCAGGCTGTCCAGGACCTCTCCCGCACAGCCAGCTGGTACCCTTAAAAGCTCCCTTTCTCCCCGCAGGTTTCTAAGCACCCAGGTGGGCTCAGCCATCATCTCCTCTGAGGTATGGGATGAAACCAGGGAGGTCAGCACGGCTGTGACCTTTCACCTGCAGCACCAGGCCCAGGTGCTGGGGGGGCGGGGCTTCTGGGAACTGCCACCCCACTACACTTATCCTGGTCTGATGCCCCCTACCCCAACATTCATTCATTTAAACCAAGATCTAAAAATGTTCAAGAAAAACACCCATTCACAAGCTACCCCATTGTCTTCAAGGGAACGGAAAGAGAAGCAGTTTATTCCACACTCACTTTATGCTGGTGCCTTAAATAAGCAACATTCATGTAATTCTCCAACTGCACATTCGACATAGGCAAAAAAGTGAGCTTGGCATAGGGGCTGTGATGGGCCCCAGCTTGTAAGCGGCAGAGCTGAGATCTCATTATATGTGTGCGTGACTCGAAACACTGGTGGTTCCCATTGGAACACCCAGGGAGATGTGCAGAGGCCTGCACGGCAACGTGCTGCTGCGATCTGCCCACCAAGGGGGACTACGCAAAAAGCCACGTGCAGCTATGCACTGGAATAACCCGCTAGGGTTATGCAAGGAACAGGTCTTTTTCTATAACCTGAGGTGGAAAGATCACCAAAAAGTGTTGCTTGATTTCATTACATGAAATATACAAATTCCTTCCTGCTTTTGAAACATTAGTTTCAGAGAAAGCTAAAGTCAACTTTGCCCACAACCACGATTCCTGGACAGATACACACGTACACATACCCCACAGTTTACCAGTCTTTGGTATGTCATCCCAAGATTGTAAAAGTCAATTTGATTGAAGCAGATAAATTTCCATACACTAAAAGGTCCATTTTAAGTATACAACTTGATGGGTTTTGACCAGCATATACACTAAGGGACCTCTGCCCTAACCAAGGTAAAGACGGTTTCCACCTTCCCAAAGGGCTTCTTTGTGCCCCCATGCCAGGCAGTCTTCCCCCCCTTTCACACCAGGGAATCACTGATCTGCTTCTTGTGACTGTAGATTCTGTCTTTTCTAGTGTTTCCCATAAATGGAATCATAGTGTATGCTGTGCTCTGGCATCTTTTGTCAGCTGGGGTTTTTGAGAATCATCCATATTGTTGCCTGTTTCAATAGTTTGCTCCTCTTTAAAAAAAAAAAAAAAGATTTTATTTATTTATTTGACAGAGAGAGAGAGACATAGTGAGAGAGGGAACACAAGCAGAGGGAGTGGGAGAGGGAGAAGCAGGCTTCCCGCAGAGCAGGGAGCCCAATGCGGGACTCGATCCCAGGACCCTGGGATCATGACCCAAGCCGAAGGCAGATACCCAACAACTGAGCCACCCAGGCGCCCCTAATTTGCTCCTCTTTACTACTGAGTAAGATTCCACTATATGGATGTACCATAATTTGTCCTGATTTCTATAGTTTTTCTTAAATTTTCCTGAAGCTGTAATTTTGGTTTTTTGTTTGTCCTTTTGCAAAATCAAAGTCCTTGCTCTTTCAGCTGAGCCACATGAACATCTGTGTTTCTTGCTTTCCCTGAACGTGTTTTCTGCACTGTCTCAGTCACAGATGCCCCTTTGCAACCCTGTCCTTTCTCATGGCTGCTGAAGCCTAGCATGTATAGGCCTTGACTAAGGTCAAGTCAGAGCCACCCCCTTCCCTAGCAAGGGTCCAAAATGAACATGCCCATCTCATGGTCACGCATCCAGAGTATCTGCAGGGCTTTTTTCTATTACAATGACCTTGTCTGACGCGGTGCAAAAGCAAGAGAGATCACAGAGGGAGAGGGAGCAACAGACTCCCCGCCGAGCAGGGAGCCTGACGCGGGGCTCGATCCCAGGACCCTGAGATCATGACCTGAGCTAAAGTCAGACACTTAACCAACGGAGCCACCTAGGTGCCCCAACAATCATCCATTTTAAAAGCAAACAACAGGTTTTCTTTTTGTTCCCAGCACCCAACATAGGATCGGAGACCTAGGAAAAATATTACATGTGAATGAATACACTGGATGATAATTCAGTCAACCCAAGAAATACTACACCCTTGAGAGGCATCATCACAGAGTGGTGGAAAGAGCATGACCGAGTCAGGACCCACCCTCAGCTCTGTGCTGTGTGATCTTGAGCAGATTTATGTCCCTCTCTGAAGCTCAGTTTCCTCATTTGAAATTACATGAATTTATACCTGTCTCCTAGGTTGCTATGAAGATCAGCCACAATAAGGGACATGAAGAACATGACACAGAGTCTCATATTCTGGTGAGGTGACATTTCTGTTAGCCTTTCCAGTCGGGACACGTAGCCCAAGTCCTGAGCTCAGGTCGCTTTCCCTGCCTGGACTGGGGCTAGTACCACCGGTTGCTTAATGACATCTTATAAAATCTATGTTGTTGTCATTGGTTAATTACAAAAGTACGAACGTGTTCATTATGACACATTCAAACTGAGACCTAGCCATGGTTAAATTAGCTGTGCATTTAATCCCAGATCTTTTGTGTGAGTGTTCACAATTATATAGACTGTATGTACATATTTTTTTACATAAATAAGTCCATATTATGCATGATGATGTGCAGCTTTTTTCTTTATTGAGCAATGTATAACGGAGCTCTTTCCCTGCCAGTAGGTAGAGACTTTGTCTGTTCATCTTACCAGGTACAGAGCATCCCAAGAGGGATGTCATGGTGGTTTAACCACTCCCCAAAGGATGGGCATTTAGCTTGTTCCCAGTATTTCAATATTATACATGATGTTAGCAGCAAGCCTCCCACCCTTCCCTCCCCTCTGCCTCCCCACTGGCCTTTTTTCCCCACCTCTTCACCCATGACCCACGCTGGGCAACCCCTGGTCCCTCCAGCTCAGAGGCCTCAACATCCCCCTGCATCCTCCTGGTCTCTCCCCTCCATACTTGTTCACACACCTGCCTCATGCCCCCCATACACACTCACACACCTGCTCTGTTCCTGTTTCCTGCCCTCAGACCTTCCCGCAGAAACTGGTGGAGCCTGTCTGTGCTTTCTGGAACTTCAGTGTCAGGTGAGTTTCCATTTCCAAGTTCTTTAATTAAGGCAGTTTGGTGTTTGTTTTTCTTAAGCCATCCATTCTGCTTGAGGATGAGGTGTGTTTTTGGTCTCCAGTCACCACCTGTCTTGCCTCAGGCCCCTCCCCAGCTCCAGCACAAGCTGGAGCAAGAGAATCCGTTACCCAGGAGGAAGTAAGCTCCCCATCATGGGAGATATGCAAGCTCACTCTGTGGGGTGCCTAGGAAGAGACCCATCTGTCATATAGGTGTTGGACTTGATGATATATCCAAGGCCAGGGCCCTGGGGCAAGTGAAGGAGCAGAGGAGGGTTCAGAGCTGAGCCCCAGCTCCCTGCCCTGCATCCTTAGCTGAACATCAATCACTGTCGCTTAGTAATTAATGCAATTAATCAGTTGTAATCACTGGTATTGGCCCCATGGCCCCCTATCATCCCTGAGAGTGTTAAGTGCATTTTACAGATGGGAAACTGAGGCTTGCCCAAGGTCACAAAGCTGGTTGGAGGCAGAGCAGTGACGGGCCCCAAGCTTTGGAGAGAGGCTTTCCCCGGCTTGCCAGCTACCCCCACCCCCACCCCATTTCAAGAGCCCTTCTGTTCCCTGCCCTTCCCCAGCCCGGACACAGGGGGCTCATGGGCCCCTACTGGCTGTTCTGTGGCCACTGTGTACGAGGACCCGACTGCCTGCTTCTGCAACCACAGCACCAACTTTGCTGTCCTGTTGCAGGTGTATGACGTCCAGGTGAGTCCCAGGGAGGTAGTGTTGGGAGGGGGCAGTGGGGAGGTGATGTCGGAACCAAGTCTTAAATGATGGACTGTTTCCATCACTCTTGGTGGAACAGAAAGTCATTCTCAGCAGAGGGTCAGTCTGAGCAAAGGCAAGGAGACTAGAAATGGCAGGCAGACTGGATACATTCCAGAACTTCGATGTGTCTGGAGCTCCCGGTGCCAGGCCCAGGAGTGGAAGAAGACGGAGGAACAAGTGCAGGGGTCAGATCCCAGAGCCCAGGATACTCATGCATTGGGCAGGGGACCAACAGGAGCACATTCCGCGGGCGTTGGATTTGCCCCGAGGGCGCCCTCTGGTGCCAGGAGTGAGCCGGAGGGGCAAAGAGCAGCGAGGGCTCTGCAGGGCAGAGTGCAGGGGCCCGGCCTGGGGGCACAGCGGGCAGATGGAGGAGACGGGACTGAGGGAGGAGGAGGTGGTCCGGGACAAAGGCCCGGGCAGCCGGGGGATGAGGGAGGCGTCTCAGGGAGGGCACGGGAGGGTGACGGGGTGGGGCCGGCCCGGGGGCTGAGGGCGTCGGGGCGGGAGAGGGCTCAGCGGGAGATGAAGAGCCTGCAGATAAAGCCCTGGCTGAGATGAGGTCAGAACAGGAGACCGAACCAAGGGAGGCCCCTGGGAGGACCCAGCATTTACACCCAATTCCGGGAGGAGAGCAGGACAGGCATGCTCACTAGAGCTGGCAAGGACTCGGAGGGGTCACTTGCTAAGAGACTGAGTGACACAGGGCCAGAGGCTCAGGAATGCCAGGGTCCCTTGGCGTGTTGGGGAGCACACTAGAGAAACTTGCTCTCAGACACATTCGTCCTGTGAAACCAGAGCGTGGCCATGTTTGCACGTCAGCTCCACCCCTCCCCCCCCCCCCGCAGTGTGTGTGTGTGTGGGGAGGTGTCACCTCCCATCCAGTGCTCTCAGGAGCTGTGGAATCAGTGAAACCTGGACCGATCAGGGCCAGGTTAGGGACAGCTAGCAGGAGAGGACATGCAAATGATCTCTTATTAAGTGCCTGCTGTATGTAAGCCTGGCCTTGCCGGCTGGTGCTGTTGCCATCCCTGCTTCACTGCAGACAGGGAGGCTCGAGGAGCCTTGCTGGACCGGGATAGGGTGAGGCCTGGTCTGCTCAGGTCAGGGCGGTGACGAGGTTACTGTCCTCTGGGGTCTTCGGCCCTCCCGCAGAGGAGCACCGAGGAGGAGTCACTGCTGAGGACGCTCTCGTTTGTGGGTTGCGGTGTGTCCTTCTGCGCCCTGGTCACCACCTTCTTGCTCTTCCTGGCAGCCGGGTGAGACGAGCTCCGGGTGTGTCCACCCTTGTCCCAGAAGACCCTGGTCCAGGGTCTCCCTTAGGGCTGTGGGCCCCCTGTGGAGCTGCTGTCTCTGTCTTCATTAGCTCACCCAGGGGACCCGAGCAGGCAGAGGCTGATAGCGGGTGGGGGCTGGTGCTGGTGTCCTTGTTGATGGACTCCTGCCTTTCCAGGGTCCCCAAGTCAGAGCGAGCTACGGTCCACAAGAACCTCACCTTCTCCCTGGCCTCTGCCGAGGGCTTCCTCATGGCCAGCGAGTGGGCAAAGGCCAACAAGGTGGGCACCCAGCAGGTGTGCTTGTGAGCTCAGGGGGGACCAGCCTTTTCTGGGTTGCCCCCCACATCTTCACTTGGCTCCATTTCCTGGGGGGAGCATAGCCCAGAGATGAAAAAAAGGCCCAGAATGGTGAAGGTGGGCTCAGGGCACTGCTCAGAGACCCTCCCCACTGATACCTCCTTGGGTTGGTAATGCCAGGCACGGGCATGGGACCCAGAGCAGGGCTGCGCCCACAGCTGGCCTTGGTGGGGCTCGGCCACCCTCCCACCCACAGGTGGCATGTGTGGCCGTCACAGCTGTAATGCACCTCCTCTTTTTGGTCGCATTCTCCTGGACGTTGGTGAAGGGCCTCCTGCTGTGGAGCAAGGTGGTGGTCGTGAGCATGCGCCCGGGCCCCAGGATGACGCTCTACTACGCCACAGGCAGGGGTGAGGCCCCTCGGCTCCCTGCTCCCGCTCTGTTCTGAACTCTGCCTTGTGTGGCCTCTTGCTGTTCAGCACCGCCCGATCCCCATCTCCACCAGGCACGCAGCACCCATCTCTGACACAGGCGCAAGTTGCTCAGCTGTCACCCCCCGGCGTTGCCCAGCCCCAGCCCCTCTTCATCATCTTCCACTCCAACCACGTCAACTCCTGACTGCTAGCGCCGCCTCCCTGATCCGTGGCCCGCCGACCCGCATGCCGGTCACCACCCTCCATCTCCGCTGATTCCCATCCCTAAGCTCTCCGCTCCGTCCCAGATGTTCCGCTCCCCAGCCCCTCGGGGCTCCGGGGCCGCCCCCGGAGGATCGGGCCCACCCCGCCCCCTGCCCAGATCTCCCCATGCCCACCAGGGCGCCTGCTGCCATGGGACAGCTGTGGGCTGCAGCTTTGCGGTAGGGCCAGGTCCAGGAGAGGACAGGCTGCGAGGCGTGGTCCCAAGGGCACTCATTCTTCTCCTAGGTGTGCCCGTGGCCATTGTGGCCGTCACCCTGGCCGTGTCCCCCCATGACTACGTGGCCGCCGGGCACTGCTGGCTCAGTGTGCACACAGACGCCATCTGGGCCTTTGTGGGCCCTGTGCTCTTCGTGCCGACTGTGAGTGGGGAGGCCTGGGGGCCTGGGAGGGCGGGTCACGCTGGGGAAGGGGGAGGCCCTTTCACCTGCTGACACCCGGTCTCCAGGCCAACACTTGCATCCTGGTCCCCGTGGTCACGGTCACTGTGGCCGGTGCCCGCCGCCGTGCCCGCGTGCTGAGCCCACAGCCCTGCCTGCAGGAGCAGGTCGGGATCCAGACATGGTGAGGCCTGGAAGTGGGGGGAGCGGATGGGAGGCTCATCAGATGGGAACCTGTGTGAGTCCGTGGCAGCAGGATGTGGACCTGCGGCCATGTGTGTTCATGGGTGCAAAGCTATCCCTGAGCATAAGTGTGCACACGCGTCCCTGCTCGTGTGTGCACACACGCTCATGTGTGGACGTGGGTGAGCATGTGCCCACGCGTGTCACCTGCGGGATGGTAATCAGTCCCAAGTGTCGACGAGTGGGAGGCCATATAGACACGAGCCGCTTTCCTGGGAGCTCGCCATCTACTGATGGCATGGATGGCCTGGTAGGGACAAGGTAGGGGAGACGCCCAGATCAGGTGGACCCCAGAAGTTCAGGTTCAGAGTAAGGATTTAGTTTCCCACCGCTGCAAGAACTCCCCTCACTCTCCAGGGCCATGTCCTGCTGAAAGGAGGATCCCCCTACCCTTGCTTTCCCCCACCCCATCCTCTGCCAAGGGCAGGGTGGCCCAAGCCAGTGGGTCCCCAAAAAGCCAGGGAGCCCCAGGGGTCCCTAAGAAGGGAAGACTGTGGACTCCAGGCCCCCTGGATCCACTGCCTACTCCTTAGCCCTCCCTCTGGACAGCTGCGACACCCTTCCTCTGAGCCAGGGTTGGGACTGGGAGCCCGTCTCCCCAGTGCCAACCACTTCTGGGTTTGAGAAGGGACAGCCAAGTTCAGCTGCAGATTCCAGCTACACCTAAGTCCTGAGCAGTGGTCCCTGGTCTGCCCCTCCGACCCCTCCCCAGACACCTCCCACGTGCTGCCCTACCCAGCAGCCTGCAGGGGATCCCAGGCCACCCCGGCCTCCCTCAGCCCTGCCTGCTGTCCTGCAGGGCCGCGGTGAAGCCGGTGCTGGTCGTGCCGCCCGCCCTGGGCCTGACCTGGCTGGTCGGCGAGCTGGTGCACCTCAGCCCGGCCTGGGCCTACGCCGCCGTGCGCCTCAATTCCTCTCAGGTACTTCCAGGCCCTGGGCTCTGACATGCCGTGGAGCTCAGAGGGAGTGACTGGTTTATCAGGAGACGGGAAAGGGAGTGTCCTCTCCGTCATGGGAGTCACCAACAGCGACCAGGGGACGTTGTCAAGAGGCAGGAGGGTGAGGGCAGGTGTGGGAACCAAGCCTCGAATCAAAGAAGCAGCACGTCAGGGAGGATTTTGTGCCCACAGTTTACCGTCCAGGGAGCTGCGGTCCAGACACTCAGGGGAGCGGCAGAGGTTCCAGGCTCCGGGCTGGTGCTAGAGCTACTTGAGGCCTCGGACCCCCGTGACCTGTCCCCTCGGGCTCAGTGGGTGGCCCGCTGTGGGGCAGCGGTTAGCGAGGGCTTGGTCAGGAGGACGACGCTCAGCCCACGGAAATGAGGCAGTCACGGTGGCGCTGCAGCAGGCCTCCCACGGGCCTGTTGGGGCCTGCGTCCGGGAGCCACGGAGAGGCGTCAGGCCCCTGTGCCCAGGGGGCTTGCGGTCCCGTGGGGGACCCAGACGGAGACACAGACAGGCACACCCCAGGGGCCTGAGTTCTGGGAGGGAGGTGGGTCCTCTCCGCCCCTGCCCTTCCCCTCAGCCTCCCTTGCGCCCCCAGCACCTCTTCCTGCCGTCCACCCCTACTCCTCCCAGCTCCTGTCAGGGCTGAGAAAGCGAGTGGCTCAGGGGTGGACAAAGAAAGCTCAGGAAACGAGGTACAAATTCTGTCCGGGGTCCATGTGTCCCAGAGCTCCTCCCGGGGACCTTCCCGCCTCTCCTGGGATGAAGGGGCCAGTCATTCATCCATCCTCGTGATATGTGTCGAATGCCTAGGAGGTGCCAGGCACCAGGCACTGTTCCAGGCAGGGGCTACAGAGCAGGAACAGAAGCTGCAAAATGCCGTGTTCTTGCGGAGCGGACCATGGCCAAGGCCAGGTGTGAAGTGTGGAGCGGGGGGAGGGCGGCAGGGAGTGAGGAAGGGTGCCGAGGGTGGTGACTCCCAGGTCCCGGTCCACGTCGCCTTCTCGCCCTGGGCCGTGGGGACAAGCCGCTCTCAGCCAGGCGTGGGAGTGGAGAGAGGAAAGAAGGGGCCACTGCTGGGGGAGCATGGAGGCCATGCCCAGAGAGGGGCCCAGAAAATGAAGAAAAACGGGGCTTCCAGTACTCCCAAAGAAGCACGGCTCCCAGAGACCTGTGTGGGCCTGAGCAGTGCGGGGGCAGAAGGCAGCGCCGCACCCCTTCCCGGACCCAGAGCAGCCCTTCCTCAAGCCCCACGCTTCCAGAGCATCCTGGGTTCAAATGTGGGCCCTGCCAGGTTAGGCTGCGACCCTGCCTGGGGTGCCCCCACCCCCCTGCAGGGGTGGCCTGGGCGGCAGCAGGCCATTGCCACGGTGACCACTGCGGTCATCCCTGTGGTGGCCCTCTGGTGGGCAGCGCTGCGGCCATAGAGCCGGTGCCACCTCTCGTCCCCCTCCCTCCGACCCCCTCCCCATCCTTTCTGCTCCCCTTGTCTCGCTTCTTCATCTCTTCTCTGAATTTTCTCTGAGGTTCCTTCTCTGTCCCCTCCTCCTCTGGCATGGCCCTCCCTCTGAGTCTCCCTTTCTGTTGACCCCTGACCGCCCCCCCAGCTTTTGACCTTGAGCGTGACCCCTCTCCCCCTCCTAGTCAGCCGCAGACCTTCCTTGCCGAGGTCTCCTGGTGAAGGAGGGAAGAGGCTGCCTTGTGGGGTCAGATGGCGCGTGACCTGGGCCCGCCCCGACATTCCTGGGACCATCTCCACACAGGTCCCCCAGTCAGGCTGCCTTCTCTGGGTCCCTCCCCACGCCTGGCCTTTCCTCTCCTCTGTCTTGCCTCCACCTGCCGTCCCTCCCTGTCTTCCTCACCCCGCTCACCTCCAGGTGTCCCGCTGTCACTGTGTCTGGGGCATCAGCTGGGCAGGACCTGCCCTCAGGACCGCCGCCCTTCCCTGGAGCCGGCCTGGGGCAGAGGGACTGGACTCGGCTGGGCTTCGGCCCCTCTTCAAGGCTCATGTGTCTCCCTGTGGCTCCTGGGTGGGGTTTTGTGACAGGAGAACTGAGCTGCACTTCTAACCAGCTCTGGTTCCCTGGGCCGAGTCCTGTTGGGAGGCCCGGACAAGTTGAAACAAGCCTCAGCTTCCACACGTCTATACAGGGGATCCTACTCTCCACCTCATGGGATCCTTATGGGGTTCAACTGAGGTGACATTTGCAAAGGGCAAAGCACCACACGTGGCACCCACCAGGAGCACCGTGAGCAGGCGTGGATTTGTTTCCTTCAGGCTCTGGGGGCCCACGCTGGGCCACGTACTGGAGAGAGCCTGCTAGTGCGCGGGATCCCAGAACTGAGCCACACACCCATAGCATGGCATGATGGAGGCCGAGAGGCTGAGGGAACGCGGGGGCAGGCTGCGGACAGAGGAGCCACTCGTGGGGAGGCCGAAAGGGTGCTTCCTAGAGGAAGTGATTGTCGGCCAATACCCAAACTCCCTGAGAGAGAGGAATGTTTTAGGTCAGGGGAGCATGGTTGGATCCAACGGACACATGAGCCAGTGAAGAATGGGACGAGAGCAGGCGTGGGGGCCACACCAGGTCCCCGGAGCTGTTGTAAGGAGCTCAGATGTGATCCCAGGGGCGCCAGGGAGCCTCGGAGAATGTCAGGCAGGTAGGTGCTGGTGGGGCTGGGGTGGAGTTTGAAAAGCTGCCTTTGTTCGGGTAGGAGGAGCCGGTACAAGGCTGCAGAGGGGAGACAGGCTGGCTGGGGGGAGGGGAGGCCTGGGCAGCACCAGGGCCTGTCTTAGGGTGGAGGGTGGTATCAACCCAGTTGGGGCCTAAGAACCAGGGGGAGCAGTCAGGCTCTGAGGCTGAAGCTAGAAGGCCTCAAGGAGGCCCCCTGGCCACCAAACTGTGTCCTCCAGTCTGAGCCTCAGGGCAGGGGCTGTTGCCTGTCCAGGTGGAATCTGAGGAAGGCCTAGGCTCCAAATTCCACCTGCTGGGTCACACTTTGGCCTGGGACTCATTGCTCTGTCCCCTGCCCCAGGCCCCACGGTCCCTCTCCATCAAACAGGAAGAATTAATGCACACCGCCCCAGCATGGAGCTGCTATGAGGGTTGTCACCCCAAGTGTGATGGTACTTTGTGAGTGGCCAGGCCCTCTTGGTCCTCACGTGTGTGGGCAGGAAGAGCCAGCTACGACCCAGCCACCATGCTGAGTCCTTCACACACAGCAGGAGCTGAGTCCGGGCTTCCGCTTTCCGGGTGAAGAGACAGAGAGTCAGAGAGACACTCGGCTAGAGGCACGAATCAGCATGCATTCACACGTCTGCTGTCCCAGGACTTGATTTAGCCTCAATTTTAGGAAGGTGTCCCCCCCACCCACGCACCCACTCTTGCAGCCATAATGAGGCTGTGAGGATGGGGCAGGTTGGGGTGGGGGGACGCAGAGGGACAAGAGGGGAGGCTGTCTGGTGGCCAGAGGCTGAACGCACGGGGTCGAGTGGCGCAAGGCCCCTTCTGGTTCTCTCTGCCATAGAATGTCACAGATGTCCCCTCCCAAGTGCAGGAGAGGGGCAGGGCAGGATTCGTGTTCATCAGCCTGTGTCTCTCAGTGTCTCTGGGTATCTCTGGGTGTGTCTCTGTTGTGGCCTCAGGGCCAAGGTGGGGGTGACACCCACCCACATGCTGGGTCCATCCCCAGGGGCCGTACATCTTCCTGGTCTATGCTGCCTACAACGGGGAGGTGAGTTGGGGACACTGGCTCCTGGGGGGTGGGGTGGGCAGGGCTAACTCGCAGGGCACCTATGGCTGGGGGTCAGGGGGAGGGTCCTAGGCCTGACCCTGATGCCCAATCCCCAGGTCCGGAGCGCCCTGCAGAGGATGACAGAGAAAAAGACAACAGAGGCCTTCACGGTGGGTGCGGGCAGGTTGGGGGTCCTGGGGCGGGAGGTCCCACTCACCACCAGGATTCCAGTGCCCACACCACTTCCTTTCAGGCCTGCTCCAGCCCCATGGGCCCAGGGTCCCACCCGAGGTTCCTGGGTCCCTGGGAGGTGGCTCAGGACAACCCTGTAGCTTTGGTTCCAGCCCGAAGACATTTGGCTGTTAGAGGTAAGGCCACACCAGCCCCCACTCTGAGTACTACCCAGAGCCTCAGTTTCCCCAGTGCTCAGGTAAAGCTGGGAAGGCGACGGCAGATCCTATTGGCCCATCTGAAAGACAAAGAGACTGAGGCCCAGGGAATTCTGCAAGCACAGGGCCTGGGCGATGGCTTAGAAATGGCTTTTTTCCACCACCACCACCAGGGAACAGGGCCCCCAGCTGCGCAGCCCCGAGGCTGGGCTTGCCCAGGGTCACCTCCCTTGGGTCTCCATGCAAAGGGGGTTTGGGGGTTCCCAAAGCCAGGTGAGTAGATGAGGTTTGGGGCCCTGAGACAGAGCATGGGCTAAATGACTTCAAGGCCAGTCCAGGAGTTTTAGTCCCAGCTCCTAGTTCACCTGCTGTGTGCCCTTGGGCATATTACCATCCCTCTCTGGGCTTTAGTTTCTTCATCATTAATCTGTGGAATAAACCTTTGAGTGGATCCTTAGGGTCTTTGATAACGAGGTCCTGTCCAGGGCGGGAGAGCAGAGAGAGAGCTTCCTGCCTCAACCTCCAAAAAGTTCACCTACTCCAGTGTTTTTCTCCTGTAGGGACCCGCAGCCCCAGAATTCCCACAACCTTCTCCTCCATTGCAGAACCTGAGAGACCGGTGAGGCTGGGACAGGGGTGGCAGGGTCTTGCCAGGGGGCTAGCAAGTATGTCCTACAGGGTGGGGGAAACCACAGGGACTAGGGAGGGTTGGGGGAGGGGGGCTTCCTCCGGGGACCCAAGGGGCCCCATTCCTCAGTTACCAGGTGGTAGGGCACTGGGAACCGCCCGGAGGTGCTGACTACACATGGGCAAAACCTGAATGCCAAGGCCACTGGGGGCGGAGGAGTCATCACCAAGGTCTCCCAGGGTCCCCAGGGCAAGGGGGAGTGGAAGGAGTGGGGGACCTCTCCCCTGACGACCTCCTCTGTCCTCAGGCTGTGGGGCTGACAGCATTCAAGGCATCAGGTACAGCTCGCACCCCAGCGGGTTCCCCTTTTCCCCTTGGCACCTGGACCCCCACCCTCAGCCCCACTGCACCAGGATGGAAGTGATCTGAGAAGCGAGCGCACCTGACCTCCCACCACTTGCAGGGCCCTTCCTCTTGCTCTGCTCCTTGTCGGTGCCGAAAGTCCCCCATTAGCACACTGGGGGCCTGTCAGGGAAGTGCAGCGCTCTTTGGGAGAGGCGCACTCCAGATTTGGGACTCCTTCCCGGAGCCGGTGCTGCGGGAGGGGCAGTGAGCCAGGAGCCTGCCTTCCTCTGTGCACCCACTCCATCTGGCCCCCCAGGCCCAGCCTCCTGGCCGCACGCCTCCCAGAGCCCCTATCCTGGTGCCTCGTGGGCTGAAAGGACTTCCAAACCTGGTGAGAAGCAAGTGCTTCCCTCGCGGGCTCAGTTCCCCCAACTGGAGGGCTGATGCGGGCCTGTGGGCAGCGGGGCAAGGCTAGGGCCACCCCAGGCCCTGCTCAGGGAGCGGACTGAGTCTGGGGAGCTCAGCCTGGCCCGAGGGGAAGCCTAGGGGCCTCTGGCCACTGTCAGCCTCTCTCAGCCTGAGTACCCCAGTCTTAGAACACAGCTGACTGTAGGAGGGGCTGCCAGGCACTGCCCCGCCTCAAACCAGGGGATCCTTCCCAGCATGGGCAGGAGGAGGCCTGTTTGTGCGGCTCTAACTGGGGCCGGGCTCTGGGCTAAAGCCCTGCGTTGGCTGACTCCTTTAATCTGGGGACCTGGGGAAACTATCCACCCATCGTGCAGATGCGGAAAGTGAGGCACGGGGGCAGTCACATAGGTGTAAACGGAGGCACATTCGAAACCCAAGTCTGTAGGACCCCAGGCTCCCGCGGGCCTCCTCCCCTGCCACATGTCCCAGTCCCAGGGAGCCTCAGCTCCCCCGTCTGCAACGTGGGCAGGGGGCGCCCCCCGCAGGCCAGCGCGCGGCGGGCCTGCCACGGGGCCCACGGCGCCCCCGCACCCCCGCCCCTCCCCCCACCCCCGCAGGCGCGGCGCCGGTGGGAACAAGAGCGGCAGCGGCGCCTCTGCGCTCAAGTGACAGCGCCTTTGTCTCTGCTGAATGGGTGCGTTGCTAAGGCCGCTCGTAGCAACGGAGCCGCTTCCACCTCGGCCAGCGGCCGGCCCCACCCTCCGGACCCCCAACCTGCCTCGCCCTCCCTCCGGACGCCGTAGCCCCCACTCCCCCTCCGCAGCCCGCGACCTTCTCAGGTGGCCCGAGCACCAGGTCCCTCACGAGGCAGCCACCGCCCTTCCCGAAAGCCTCCGGGCATCAGGTGTTCGAGAGAAACTGAGGCTAAGAGCGGGGATGGGGGAGACCTCCCAGGGGCTCTCCCCCCCCCCCGGGGCCAGAATTCCGCTCCCCCCGCCCCCGCCAGGGCTTCCCCCAGCCTCAGTTCCCAGTCCCCTCCAGGGGCCCCCACCACAATTCTCCGCCAGCTTAGCCCGGCGCCTTCCTCCCGGGTTTCTAGAGAGAGTGCGAGCGGACCTTCCCCCAGGCTCTGCGTGGGGACCCCTGCGGGACAGACAGCAGCCTCTGCCTCAGCCTTGCCCAGCTTCCAGTAGGACCCCTGCCCTGGTGCGGTGCCAACACTGCTGCGCCCCCCAGCTCAGCCCCCGAACTTTGTCCAAGATTGTCCCCCCCCCCAACCCTGCCCGCCTGCCTGGAAGTTCTGACAGCCCAGTGGTAGCTCTCGTAATAAATGGTACTACTGTGGCCTGTTCCTCCCTGGGGGTCACCCTGGCCTGGGGAGTCCCTGGGAGGAGGGTGGGACAAGGGAAGCGGCCACTTTGTCTTTGGGACTCAAGACAACCCCAGTTTCATCAACAGGGTAGGTGCAGCCAACACTTATTAGCACCTACTGTGTACCTGGCTGGTACCGAGCCCTTGATTGCCTTAGAGCTGTGGGTCCTCACCTCAGCCCCGTGACCACCGTCGCCCCTGTTGTACAGAGGAAGAAACTGAGGCTCAGAGACGGTCTCCCCACCTTGGGGGCCAAGGGGTGGTAGTCACGGTGAGGTGGAGTCACACGGAAAAGACTGCTCAGAGAAGGCATCAGGGCAGGTGGGACTGGTCCCAGGTACAATGGGTCATGCTGCGGGGAGACCCCAACTCAGACTCTGGCTACGGGACCAGGTCCGGCCACCACTGACTCTGTGGCAGGGGGCAAGATTCTTCCGTGAGTCCGGGTCCCTTCTTAGGCAGAGCTGGCAGCGGTGGTGATGTGTTAGGGCACCAGGGTGGGCCCTGAGGTGGAAGCCAGGCGAAGGAGGGGACCAGGGACTGCTAACACTGTCCTGCTGACCTCAGGCTGGCCCAGAGGCTGCCGGAGCCAGAGGATGTGGCACAGCCGGGGAGCATCCGAGCAGCCTCCCTGGAGGAGGCGCACGTGAGTGGAGGCGCGGCAGGGTTACATGAGAAGCCCCGAGACCCAGCCAGGGACAAGTTGCACCCAGTTCTCCCCACAGCCTTATGTGTCGCTTCCACCCTGGGCCCCACCTGGCTTGTCTGGGACAAAATCTATAGAGGGGTTGACCCATCAGGCAAGGACAGGGGGCTGGGTATTTCATTCTGGGGATGGGGGCTGTTGAACCTTCTGAAGCCCCTCATCTGCAGAACGGGGGCCATCAAGCCCCACCCCACAGGCGACAAGAGGGGTAAGTGCAGTCTTGTGTGCTAGTCCCTGGGCCCAGCACATAGTAGGAATGTCGGCTGTCTTCAGAGAAGGATGTGCAGGGGACTGGGGGCGCACAGAGCCCGCCGTGTAGAGGAGGTGATGTATAGGGCTTTGAAGACCCCCCAGCAGAGACGGAGGCTGGCAGGTTTGGGCAGTGGGGGAGGCAGCAGCGGTCCGCCTGCTCTGGGAAGGCCCAGCAGTGCCGTAGGGAGGAGTGCCAGGCTGGGGACCACCGCCGAGGTTCCAGAGAACAAGGCACTCAGCCTGGCTGTCTGCTGCCACGGAGCCGGGGGAGGGGCGCCGCGACACAGGGAAGCAAGACCGTGGCTCTGAATTGGGCGGCCACTTGGTCTCCACTGCCTGCGTTTGTAGTGTCCTCCGACTCCTTCCCCTCACCTCCAGGGGAGGCCTGCCTCCCCGCTGACTAATCCTGTGGTCGTGTGGACTGGCGGGCCGGCGGCGGGGGAGGTCCCGGAGTGGCCCCCAAGGAGTCCTCTCCGGTCTCCCCTCCTCCTACTCCATACCCTTCCTCCCATGCTGCGGGGAGACCCCCAACTCAGACTCTGGCTACGGGGCCAGGTCCGGCCACCACTGCCCCCAACTCTTGTCTTAGCTGGCAAACCCCCGGACATCCTTTAAAACCCAGCTTGGGTGACACCTCTGCCGAGAAGACTTCCTGTCGCCCCAGGGGCAGAATCAGTCCCTTCCTCCTCTTCGCTGGCTCTCACGTGAGGGATCACACAGGATTACGAAATGACTGAGAGGCCTCCTGCAAGACTGGAAGCTCCCCAGAGGCAGGAACCTGAGCATCTGCTTCACTTCTGAAGGTGCCAGGCGGGAGAAGGACACTTCTTCTTTGCATAAAAGCCACTGCCAAGCTGTGTGCCTGGGGCAGGGGGGCATCTTTTTTCTGTCGTGCACAGAGGCATGAGGTGGTCCGCGAGTGGCCCCAGGGGTGAACTAGTCAGGTCGGTCGGGATGATGGAGGTTGGCGTGATGGCTCTGCCCCTTCTTGATGTGGGACCTTGGACAGGCCACTTGACCCCTCCGGACCTCGGTTTCCTCATCTGTAATCTGGAGCTGCCACCTACCGAACTGGCTTTGGGGAGCAGATGGGACAAAAAAACGAGACAAAGCCGGTGAAGCCCTGGAGGACATCTAGAGCAGAGGCAGCTCGCCTCAGAAAGCAGCTGTGCTCACTGCTGCCTCCCAGCGGGGGAGGCAAGAGAATCAGGGAGAGGGGCCGGTCCCGGGGCCACCAGATGGACCGAGAGGAAAGGGCCGGTGCTCCCAAGTCAGGAGGACCCAGGTTTGAATCTGCCCCTGCAGATCCCTGACTGAGGGGCACCTGCCAAGTGCCTCTCCTGGATCCTAAGCCCTGCCTGACTGGGCTACCGTAGGGACAGGGTCATGAGGGACCGCACACAGTAGGTGCTCATGAAATCACTGCTCCCTTCTGCCCAAGATGGCGGTTGAGATGCATGGCCAGGGTGGAACTCCGGCTGAGGCCCAGGAAGACACAAGCATCTCCCAGGCCTCCTGGGTATGGCAAGGTCCCAGGTATACCCCCACTCTGGTCCCAGGTTTTGAACCAAAGCTTATCTGACTGTCGCGCCCATCCCCATCAGAGCATCTCCCCGCCCTAGACCACCAAAACCCACCTTGGAGGTTCTGCTTTGGCCCCAGAATGTAAATAGGCAAAGGTAGCTGGAAACTAATTGCAAAATTTATTCCAGGGCTGCAAGGGCTGGGGAGATTCTTAAGGGCACTTCTCATTTTGGGGCTGTGGGTCTCTGGCCTTGGCAGGGGCACACATTTCAGTGGGCAAGGGTGGGCACTGAGACAGGGCGGTGGAAGGCAAGGGGGAATGGATGCCCAGTCACCTCCAACTGGGCAGGCTCAGCACAAGCTGCAATGGCAATGTGAAAGCAGGAAAGACAGTGGATGCCCAGCCCGGGGACAGAGGACAGCCAAGGCCTCCCCCTAGCGCCTGGCCCTGGAGAGCGTCCTTCAGGACACAGGGTGGGAAGAGGCCAGGGAGCTGAGACCCAGCTTCAAGGGCTTGCAGCAAGGGACCCAGTGGGACGGGGCCAATGAGGAAGGGGCTTATCAGCAATGTCCCCCATCTGGAGACCCATACACCCTCCTCAAGTTCACCCATATTCCCACACAGAGAGACTCCGAGCCCTGAGAGGACACCCTGCTGTTCATTGAAGGAGGGGCAAGCAACAACTCCTCTCTGGATTGAAACAATGGTCCAGCACCACCCATGGGGTACTTGGCATGTGGGTGTTTGGAGAGAAACCATGGGCTGTACCTGGGGCTAATCCCCAAGTCCCAGCCTCAATCCTCAAATCCATCCCCTGCCCTGCCACATACAAACCTTTCAAAGAGTATCTAGAGTACTAGATTAAAAAACAAATAAAACCCACAAACCCACAAACCTCTTGACTACAGCCTCTGCAGACACATACCAGCCTGGGCTGGCCAACTGTGGGTGGGGCTAGAATGTTCTAGCTCCCTGGTGGGGGAGGGATAGAGAAACTTCTCCTCCGGTGGGAAAGGGATAGAGAGAGCTGATTGTAGTGAAATTCTTTTCAGATAGCATGTCAGAGTTCTCCCCTGCACAAGTCAGATGGGGTGTAAGGGCTAGGGAGGAGGGCTTGGTCCTAACCTGCCCCCTAGTGTCCTCTAGGCCCCACAGTGCCTGACCAACTTTGCAAACTCAGTGACTCCTAGTTTACAAAACAGAGGGCTTCCCTCCTGGTCTCTGGGAGGGGGTTCTGGAGACCCTCTCTTCTCCCCCAGTTGATGTCCCCTCAACGTCTCTCTGCTTCTGTTTCCCAGAGAGGGGAAAGGGACGACTTCTGACCCAAGGGACGTGGAGGCCCACCAGGGAATCCCGAACCTCCTCCCTGGACCTGTGCTTCCAGACTCCAGGACAGACAGCTGGGAGCAAGGGGAGGGGGAGGGGGTACTTAGCAGCCGCCTTCTTGGGGCCCTCTGAGTGGCAGGCAGCTGCCCGTGGGGCCACCCTACATCAGCCAGGCCCCATCCCCCCTCACCCAGCTTCCCAAACACGGGGCTTCAGAGAGCACAGGGGCAGAGGGGCTTACAGGGTGGGGCTCCTGGGTCGCAGAATAAACTCAACCATCTGGAGGGCCTTGGGGGTGGCTGCGACCCCCAGCCTGGCCCCAGGCCTGGCCCCACCCAGCCCAGGCTCAAGTCTGCTTGGCTTGCAGCATCTCGATGAGCAGGTTGTTGCGGGGCATCTCGTTGCCCAGGTGCTTGTGGTACAGGTACTCCCTGGCCTGCACGCTCAGCGCCCGCACCTCCACCAGGCATAGCAGCAGCTGCTGGAACTTGTCCCCGCAGTGCGGGTAGTGGCACAGGGTGTAATCGAGCAAGGCGGCATTGGCCTTCTCCTGAGCGTCCTTCACCAGGCTGTGGTTATTCATGAACTTCACATCTGCAAAGGGAGGAGCTCTGTCACCATCACCGGCCTATCACATCGGCCGCAGTCACCAGCAACACCAATACCAACATCCCCTACAAGCACCAAAGATGGGGCGCTGCCACCGTCAAGGACATGGCCGGGCCTCCCATTGCCACCGGAACCACCATCATCGGGGCTGGGGAGCACGGCCACCAGCAGCAATCACCGATATTGACCGCCCCGTGTCCCTCCCAAATGTGGCCACTGCCGCCACCATCAACCCAACCGTTTCTGTCACCACCGTCGGCAGTGGTCACCAACGCCGACCTCTCTGCAGGTATCCCAAACACGACCACCGCCACCATCGCCCACCCAACCACGATTACCTGTCACCATCATTATTGCCACTGCCACTACCCCACTGGTCACAAGGAACACCTCCATCACCTCCAACACCACCCCAACCTCACCAGCTATCTCCCCGGGCACGTGATTCAACTTCTCAGTTTCCTGCAAAACGGTGACAAGAGTACCTACTTCACAAGATTGTTGGGAGAATTCAGGGACTTGGGCGGTGGAAAGTGCATGGAGAACAGTGTCAGGCACATGAGAAGGCCAATATGTCACCATTATTACCTCTACTCTCACCCCACCATGATCAACACCATCCCCAGCCCCAGGGTCAAAACCTTCCTGGGGACACCTGGGCGGCTCAGTCAGTTAAGCATCCAACTCTTGATCTCCACTCAGGTCCTGATCTCAGGGTCATGAGTTCAAGCCCTGCGTTGGGGTCCACGCTGGGCGTGGAACCTACTTCAAACAAACCAACCAACCAACCAAAAAAAACCATCCTGTTGCCATCATCCCCACAGTGGTCACCATCAGCACCATCAGTTGCCGGCACATTGTGATTGCAAAGGTCCTACCTCCCAGCTGCCGGGCTCATGCACTGGTGGCCCTATTCTAGAGAGCGACAGGCACTCCTTTGGTCTACCCTGTGACTGACCAAGAGCCTCTAGCACCGCAAGAAGACTCCCTCGTGGAGCCTTGGGGCATGAGGACGCTGCCACAGCAGCATCTAGGGGGTCCCACGGAGGTAGACACAAGCAAGGGAGCAGACATACCACAGAGCAAACGGGCAGATCTTTAACAGCCTAGAGCTCGGTGGAAAATAACAGAAAAGGAAGATCAAGAATGAGATCCACAAGGCAAAGTCGTCTACATAAATTAAAAATGCTTGTACAGAAGCATGCACATTATGTAAGAACAGGGACAAACAGGGAATCCAAGTTAAACGTGAAGGCGTGGCCGCCTGTGGGAGGGACGAGGGCAGTCAGCTCTGCGTGGACCGGTGATCACTTGTGCCAGGGACAGAGGAGTGTGACCAGTGCTTCCTGCATGCCCAGTGGAGGTCCAGGGAAGACATGAAAAATAAAATGTCTTTGAAATGAGGCTGCCTGGGGTTCAAATCCTAAGCCCACCAGTTAGGAGCCGCGGCTTTGTGCCCTGTCCCCTCCTGGCCTGCAAGGCCTTCTTCCTCTGTGAACGGGGCATGCCCACCTTGCAGGGCTAAGAGCTTGAGTGCCAGGGCCTGCACAGGTGTCTGGACCCCAGGGGCACCCAGAGAGGGTCAATTTGTCACTCAAGTCCTCATCACTGCTTGGCAGGTGTCTCTCAGCTCCTGGGCAGCACCCCCAGCTGGTGCCCTGCCTGGCACCTGAGGTTCAGCAGGAATCTACAGAACCGGTCCCTCACCCCCAAATCCAGCGCAGCCTGGCCTGCGATATGGCATCCGGGGGTTCAGGGAGTGGTCATCCGTCCACTTCCCCTCTGTGGCTGCGGGGGAGTCTGGAGCCCAGCATGTGCAGCCCTTGGCCCTTCTAATCCCTCTTAACACCCACTGCGCCAGGAGGGCTTGATGCTCCTGGCAACCCTGATCCCCAGCCGCCCCCGGTGCGCCTGCTGAGGCCTGTGTTGTCCAAAGTTGGATTTAGGGAAACCTGAGCTGGGCCCAAGGCGTATGGCAGGATCTGGCCCCAGTCCTCCACCCCCACCCCTGGCCCCCTCACCTCCCTTCAGTAAGTGAGCCAGGGTCATTTTCTTCCTTGCTTCCCCAGGATCACCATGAGCCCATAAGGCACCTTTGTGCCAATTACGAAGAAGTTCCCCCTTGTCCACAGAGACAGTATGGCAAGGGGCATACAAGCTGGAAGTCAGCCCCTATTCATCACCTGCCTAGGTGCCCTTGTGCAGTGAACAACCTGTTCGACTGTGCATTGCAGCCCTGCTCCTTAGCCTGGACTACTCCAGACACACTCAAAGGTCACGGGAAGCCCCCACGCTCTCTGAAGCTGGCCTCCTAGGCACAAGGGGTGACTACTGACCCCGTCCCTGTCCCAACCTCTTTTCATCCCATAGGGTCCTGTCTACCTTCACCTCCCACCCCCACCTCTCCCCACTGCCCCCTGCCCTCCACCCCCGGCCCAGGCTGGGCAATTCTCCTGACATTGCCTTCTGGCAATGCACTGTAGGAGGCTGGGGGTCCAGAGAAGGGTAGGGATGAGCTCAAGGCCACACAGCAATAAGGGGGCCCAGAGGAAACAGCTGGGGTGGAGGAGGATGGGCTAGGGTGCTGCAGTAGAGGCCGGAGTGGGAGGGGGCTGTGAGGAGCAGAGCCTCGGCTTTACCAGGATTTACTGTTCTCCACAGCACCGCAGCACCGTACCAGGGACAATGGGGTGGAGCGCAGGGGGTGGGTACGGAACAAGGACAGCGCTCAGGGGCAGCCCCCACTCTTAGCAGTTCTCTGGATCTCTCAGCTCTCTGCAGACTGGAGACCCCCACCGCCCCCATGCGGTGGGCTACAGGGCTGGGGGAAGGAAGCAGTCACCTGTTAAGCCCTGAGGACTATAGTGTAGGCGCACCCAGTTTCCCAGGCACCCGCCGGGCATCGTGCACTAGCTCAGTTAATCCCCACAGACAACCAGGCAGGCGGGAAAGGGCATCCCCCAGGCGCAGGGACAGTGGGGTGTGCCTGGGACACCCAGCAGGTGCCAGAGTCTGGATGCAAATCCAGGTCTCCTGGCTCCAAAGCCCGGTGGGGAAGCACAGGCAGGGTCAGGCTTGGACGTCGATTCCTGGGAGACAGGACATGAAAACTTTGTTTCGTCCAATCCAGGAGTCCTGTCCAAGGGCCACCACCCCTGGGATCCTAGGTTTCCGAGGCTACTCTGGACTCCAGACTCCTCTTCCTCCTCACCCTGGAGGAGACCACTGTCAAGTCATGCCCCCTCTCCCACCTCCCCGCCCACCCCACTAAAGGGACTGTCGTGAAGCTTGTGGGATAATGGGTGTGACAGAGCCAACACTGCACTGAACACCATGCCTTTCTTCCGTTGGACACGGGAGCAGGGGACACACAGACCTGGAGGTGCCCCCTTAATATGTCGGGGGTTCAAATCCCGGCTCCACCACCAACTGGGTGACCTTGGGCAAGGCCCTCCCCCTGAGCTGTTCCCCGTCATCTGCAAAATGGGGACACACGAATCTCCACCTCACAGGGTGCCCAAGAGCCGGACCTGATCTGTGTTGCCCAGCTCTGGGCCCCGGGACACCACAGGTTGGAGATGGGCATGGGGGAGAAAATCCCGGTGTGTCCCCCCCCCAGCCTGCTCAGCTCCAGCAATCCTGGAGGTGGGAGGCGGGAGGGGGCTGGGAGATGGCACCCCCACCTCGGAGAGCAGCCTGCTAGCGCTGCAGAGCTGGGGGCCCCCAGGTTCTCAGAAAAGCCCCCTTTTCACGGTTTAATTGAATATTTGAATAATCCTTTCATTCCAGCGAGGCATAAAGAATGTTGTCCCAATAGCGGTGACTCAGGCAGGCGCCCCCGCGCACAATGGCCCCTCGAGTGGGGCTGCTATTCAGGCCGCCTTTTGTTGGCGCGGAGCAGTGGGTAAATTGCAAACGCTTAAGGGAATGCTGCGGCGGCCGCCTCAATGGGAGTCAGGAAATCGAATGTTAGGTCAATCCATTAAGCTTCGATTAAGTCCTCTCCGGAACAATGCCAGCCGGGCCCATCTTCATAAACACTGCGATTGCCAGGAGAGAGGCACTAATTTTAATTAAACCTCCTTACCTGCCTCCACGCCTGCAGGAAGACGGCTATTTAGACGCCAAATGGCACCCTTCTGCGGAGGCAGGCGGGCAGGAGGCGCTGAGGGGGCTGCAGGCGGTGGGGTGAGGGGGGAGTGGGGGGACAGTTGTCACAGGGGATGAGGCTGCCCAGCCCAGGGAGGTGACGCCCAGCGTGCCAGCTGGAGGTCTAAGGGCAAGTGGCCGTCCCTCTCTGGGCTCCAGGTCCCTTGGGGACCTATTCCTGGGGCCTGGCAGCGGGGAACACGGGAGAGCCCCACCGCCCTTCCAGACTCTGGGCAGATCTTCCCCCTCATCTTGCCCAAACTTGTCCACTTCACTCCAGCCCCGGGGCTAGCCTCTTGCAATGCTCTGGGCTGCCACCTGCCATCCTTCTCCCATGCTGCAGCTAGAAGGACCTTGCTAAAATGCAAATGCGATCATGTTACTCCAGCTGAAAAGCCTTCCCAAGGGAAGGGTCAAGGTCCTTGGCCTGGCATTCGAGGCCTTGCTCAGCTCAGTCCCTGCCCGCCTCCCCAGCCTCCGATCCAGCCCCTCCCTGCCCCACAACCACAGCGGACTTCCAGGATTCCCCATCCCTTTGCACAGCCCTTTGCTGCCGCTTGCTTTGTTTCACCTAGAACGCTCCTACTCATACTGCAAGGCCCAGCTCAGAGGCCCCTCCTCCAAGAAGCCTTCCTTGATATCTTAGGTGTGGGTGGTTTCTTCTCTTTGGGCCAACCCTGATCACACTGGCCTGCTCAGGCTCCTCCTGGAACCTGTCACCCAACAGCCCCTGTACCTCACCTGGCCTCCTCTCCTTCTGTTCTCCCAGGAGCTCAGGCAGGCCCAGGCACCGGGGCCTCCTCCGCCTCCTCCCAGACTCAGCCTCACTAGAGTTAGTTTCTGACCTGCTGGGCTGGGCGTCCCCCCACCCAACTCGGCCAGACCCGCCTCCCTGTGATAAGGGACTGTGCCAGACACAGAAGCCATGAAGACAGAGACTGATTTGATCATTCAGTCACCTCATTCATTCATTTGCTCATTTGCTCACTGGTGGTAACGGAGAGAAACAACACTGATGCATATTCCAAGGGGCCAGACCGTGCACTGAGCACTTTGGGGGAATTCCCTCATGAAATCCTCATAGCAAATCAAAGATTATTATGATGGTCATCTTACAGGTGGGAAAATAGAGGCTTAGAGAGGGGAGTGACTTGCTCAAGGGCACACAGCCAGAGAGAGAGTCCAGATTTAGACTCCAGGCAGTCCGTCCCTAGGCCCCATTCCTAACCACTGTCCCTCCCTGCCTCACACGTGTGAACACACACGCATATGTATGCACGCTCTCTCCTGCATCCGGCCCCTCCAGCCTATGCCAGCCAAGCACTGGAGGGAGTCCCTGTCTCTCAGGCCCCAGCTACCGACTCTGGCAAACAGGGAGAAGACTAGCAAGAAGGAGGGGCCGGCACTGAGGCTTCGGAGCATGGCCACTCACCTGGAGCGGGGGAAGAGGGCTGGGCTCAGCTCTGGTATCCTTACACGCCGTACAAGGAGAAGTCCTGGATTTATCGTCTGCTGGAGGTGAGAGTTGTACTGGGCCTGGCAGTCCCCAGTGCCCAGGGCTTTGTTGGAAGAGGGGCAGGGGCTACAGGGGTGTGCCTCGGGCCCTGGTGGGGTCTAGAAAGCCAAAACATGGCACCTGCTCTATAGGGAGGGCTGGCCAAGAAGGCTGGTGGCTGGCAGGCCACCTTCCACCCACCCCTCCTCTGGGCCTCCCTGGAGGCCTCTTGATGGGGCTCAAGTCAAGAAACCACCCTGACCATCACGGGCCCCACGCTCCAATTCTATGTGCGCTCCAAATCCTTCATGTCTCCAAATCTCGCAACACTCCCCAATTACACACAGATTCTTTCTACAACGTGACATGTAAAAAGCCTGTGAAAGTTCATAGTCTGCACATGTGTGAAAACAAAGGCGCAAATACAAAGGCACAAACATGCACGTAACTCCTGGAGTCTCCACACCCCCAAACCACACACCACCATGGCTCTGGTCTCAGTCAGTTCCCAGAGCCTGACAGCTCACAGACACAAGGTTGGGAGGCGGGTACCACTGGAGGGAAGAAAGAGGGAGCTTGAAGCCAGCCTGGCCTGGACCCCTGAGGCCCCTCCATGGGCTCCAGGCCACATGTCCTAACTGGCTGCCCAAGAGTCCGTCTCCACACCGCACCATGGTTGTCCCCTACCAAGCCTTGTAGCCTTGCATAGAAGCCCTCCAGCTACCAGCCTGCCGTGCTGGAGTCAGGAGACTGGCTCAGGTACCCAGTCACGTGGCCATAGCCTGAGGACTGGGCTTCCCATGGTCAACACTTCATTAATTGCCCCCCATCCCACCCAGCTCTCACCACTCTCGGGCAGGCGCTCCCTTGCCAGACTGGGGCTGTGAGGTCGTCTACCACAAAGAGGACACCTGAATCCTGCCCCCTCTCCAAGTGATGAGGCGTTCATTCCCTTCTGTTCTGACCTTACATCCCATCTACACCTCTGCTAAAAGATGTATCCTTCCAGCAAACTCCTGCTCATCTTCCAAGGCCCTGCTCAGATGTCCCTCTTCCAGGAAGCCTTCTAGGCAGAGCCCTTGTTCCCCACTCCGGGTCCCCCATCTCTGTCCCCGCCCCTGCAGCACTAGCTGGAGGCCTATACCGGACTGGGAGCCACCTGACAGCAAGGACACGTTCATGTTCACAACATTGCTGGACCCGGGGAAGGCACAGATGGCTTGCTAGGTGAGGGAGGACAGGAGGCCAGCCCGAGGAGAGCGCCGAGGAGGGTGGAGGCTGGAGCGGCATGGGCTGGGTGTGTCAGGAGGGTGATGAGAGGGAGACCCCTGACTTGGGGAGTGGGGCTGGTGGACCGGGCTCACCCTCTGCCACTTGCCGGCTTTACTTCCCTCCTTAGCCCTGCTCACAGTCTTCCAGGCTATATATTTTACTAATCATTTCACTCATTTCTATAGCTTACTAATTATATTACGCTTATTGCCTCTCCCTGGAGAGAAGGTTGGCTCCATGACAATATGGATTGGGGATCTTTTTTGTTCAGCCTGTGTCCGCAGTGCCTTGCAGAGTGCAGATGCTGAGCAGATGTTTGTAGAATGAATACATGAGTGAATGAATGAGTGCGGAGCCCAGAGTCAGAATTTGGGCCCCCCCTAGAGCAGTGAACCGAGAAAACAGGGACCCCAGGATGGGAGCCAGGGAACAGAAGCTCCCGAAATCACACAGGCGTTTTTCCGGAGGTGACCTGGGCACTTTTCTGGGGCTTCCAGCCAGGAATTTACCGAATTTTCGGGAGTCCTTGTCCCACAGAGGGCAAATCTTAGACACTGTCTTGGTCCTCTGTACTTTCCAACAGGAAAACTGAGGCCCAGAGAGGAAACAACCGCCACTTTAAGAGCCAGGCCTGTCCCCTCCTACCCAGGCCCACCACCTCCGTGGCCCCCCCTCGCCGCCCTAGGCCAGGCCGGACGCACTCACCGAGGCTGAAGAGGATGAGGAATTTGAGGCAGACGAACTCCTGGCGGTCCAGCTGCAGCGCCAGCAGCTGCAGCACCAGCTCCTGCGCCCGCAGGACCAGGCTGTGCAGCAGGGAGCCCGCCTGGGCGGCCACCGTGGTCAGCTCCACCTGCGCGGGCGGACGTCGGCGTCAGCGGCGCGGGCCAGAGAGGCGGCGGGCGCCGGGGCGGGGGCTCTGATTAGGGACCGGGGGCGGGAGGAGGCTGGGGGGACCGGGGCGGGGGGCAGCATCTCCGAGCCCCACAGCAAGGGTCCCGCCTTCCCAGGGTTCCTCGCGCTGCGGCCGCCGAGCCGGCCCTGGGCAGGTGGGTGTGCAGAGGGAGAGCTGAAGGGTCCTTCTCCCGCAAACAGCTGCTGCCAGGCGCCCTGGTATCTGCAGCAAACGCCACGTCGTGCTGGGTGTGGGGCAGGGTCGGGGCCGGTCTGCCCGGATCCACGGGCACGTGGCCACGGGACTGCCCAGGGCCCCACACGCCCACACGTGGACACCCAGGCTGGGGATGTGGTCACACCTCAGCTCCCAGTCTCACACACCCGTGAACACACTCACAGGGCGGTCCACCCGTTTCATGAAGTGAACACACACACACACACAGGCCCGTGTATGGTCACCTCACAAGGTAACGCGACAGACACGTGCCCATGTGTGAATCCGCACACACGGTGACAGGCAGAACTCAACAACCACACGCTTGCGCGTGGGGAGATATGGCCTCAGAGACTTCGGCCGCACGTTCACATAGGCCAACACAAACACGCTCATCCCTCAGACTCTCCGGTCTGCGTTCACAGGTGGCCTCCAAGTCATGCCTTTGGGACCAGCACTCCCAGGCCCTGGATGCCCTGAGACACCCAGGGTGAGAACAGAGCACGAGCACCAAGGGCCTGGGTTGGAGACAGGTGACGGGGAGCAGGGCCTCAGCCTCCAACTCCCACGCCCAGAGTACCTGTTAACCGCTCTTCCCCCTGTCTCCCCCTCGGGACCCATGCTCCCCCCACCAGCCTAGACCCTGGCATCCAACCTCTCTTCTTGCTCTCCCTCCTTCCCTCCATTTCTCCCACACCTCCTCCCTCAGTTGGGGGTCCTCCTCCTTCAGCTGCCCCCTCCCAGGTCCCCAGCGTTCCACAATGGCCTCGACTTCCTCACCCCCCACCCCGCCCCCTCTGTGTGTTTCCTCAAATACAACCTGGATGAGCCCTTCCTCACTTAAAACTCCCCCGTGGCTCCCTGCTTGATTTCAGGAGTTCCCAGCTCCTATCCTAGGGCTTCTAATTCCCTGCTCTGGGGCAGGGCGGGGGGCCCAAATTCCTTCGCCCATTCCTTCATTCACTCAGGATTTAGGGTCTGTCCCCAGCCTTACCTCTCACCTCACAGGGCTCCTGGCCCCCCAGACCCACATACTAGCACCCACACACCAGCAGCCTCTGGTAACTCAGCAGTTCTAGACATCCTCCTGTGCACCTTCATCCATGCTGTCCCCTCTGCCGTGATGGGGGTGGGACTGCCCCCCACCACCTTTTATGACCTGACCGACCCCTATTTGTTCTTTCAAGACCCAGGGCCACCACCACCTCCTCCAAGAGCCTCCCTGACCCTCCCCACATCTCTGAGCTGCTTTCTAGGGGCTGGCACCTGTCAAGGCCAGGGCCAGGGCTGGTCAGAGGGAGGTGGGGCATGAACTTGGGGAAAGGGCTGACCCTGGGGTGCCCAGGGCCAGCCCTGGAGAGGCCTAGGGCCTCTTCTGGGTTCAGAATTCTGGAAGCACCCTTTAGGGCATGGCACAGGGCACACAGTAGGGTCTGGTCACCTCCTGCCCGGTGACCAGCAGGATGCTGCCCTCCTTGCCGTGTTGGATCTGGCGGTAGATGTGGTCAAATACTAGCAGCTCGCTCCAGCAGTTCTGCAGCAGTGTCATCTGGTCGGCCACCTGGAGGGAAGAGGCACGTGTGGGGCTAGGGTCCAGCCAGGTGCAGCCAGGGACCTTCCTCTCACCCCGCCTCCTCCCAGCTCACGATTCCGAGGCTCGCTTGGATATGTGACCTGGGCAAGCCGCTTCCTCTCTCTCCATGCCCTTTTTGCCTATCTGCAGGGATCGAACAAAAAAAAAAAAAAAAGATCCAGTGGAGGTGCTCAGAACTCAGACAGGCCTGGCTTTAGGCCCCGGCTCTGTTCCTACAAGGTCTATGACCTTAAGCAAGTTCTATAGCCCTCTGAGCTTCGATTCTTTCATCTGTGAAGCGGGCAAAGTGGGGCACCCAGTGCAAGGACAGGGACTGCCCCTGTGGGGGGTGTCCTTCCGCCCCGGAGGGTCACAACATTCTAGTACAGCTAGAATGGACGCTCGTGACCGTGGCGAGTGGGACTTGGGACCGTGGGATGCCAGAGCCAGAAGAGCCCTCAGAGATCCTCTGGCCAAAACCTCTATTGTTTAGATGAAAATCTGCTGCCCAGAGAAGGCGAGGGACTCTCCTGGGATCATGAAGAGGTAGAGCCAGGCCAGAGCCATGGTTGGCCTTCTCAGCCCACAACCCTCTACAGTGTCCTGGGTGTTCGGAACTGCCCAGGACACTGCAGGTCAGCCTACAGAGACAGGATATGGACGCCAGTCCCTCCCAGCACCTGCGGCTCATTCGCCGGCCGCCATCGGCCCAGCAGGTACTTCCTGGGTGGGCACCTTCCTGGGCCTGCCCCGTGATGAGTACAAACTATGACAGCTACTAGGCACTGTGCTGCAGCCCCATGACCCCAGGAGGCTGGGACAGTTGCTATCCCCAGTCTATGGAGAGAAGACACCCCCAGGAGTCAAGTAACTTGCCCGAGGTCACACTGCTCCATCTGGTTCCTGATCCATGCTCTAAACCACCAGGGATGGAAGAGGACCCAGCCCGCTCACCCAGGCATGCTTGTTACCTCACCCATGAAACTCTCCCCAATCCCTCCTCCTTCCACAGCGCCCTCACCATCCTCTGGCTGTGGCACCTGCCACATCTGATGGCACCAATTCATGCCTCTGCCTCCCTCAGTACCTGTGGGGTCTGGGAAGGCAGGGTTGGTCTCCAGCCCATCACTGGGCTCCCAGAGGAGGGGTTGGTGAGCAACTGATATGTGCTCCCAAGACAGGCACAGGGAGCACAGAGGAGCACAGAGGAACACAGAGGAACTACCCCCGACGCAGGGGCCAGAGAGATCCAGGCAGCCCCTGGCCTGAGGGAAACTGGCAATGCCCAATGACTAGCTCTCTCTTCTTGGGGGTAGGAGTCCCCTCCTCCCGTCAGTTCCCCCCTCCCCTGGGGGCAGCCTGGGGCCCATCCTCAGGCCGACGGAGGGTAGGGCGAGAACAAGTGTACCGAGAGCCAGTGAGCAGCCAGACACACAGTCAGGCTTCCTTCAGGCCTCACCTGCCCGCTCTTTCCCCGGCCCACAGTGGCTGAGAACAAGAGGGAGGGCCTGTCTCTGTCCTGCTCTGAGTCCCCAGCCCCGCATCTTCCGTTGCTCACCTCATCCCCTTCTCTCCTGGTAGAAAGTGCTTCCCAGAGCCCAGCTCCTGTCAGAGCAAGAAGCCCAGCTGGGGCCCTAGGCTCAGCCACAGCTAGCCCTGGATTGGAGGGGCCAGGAGAGATTAAGGCCCGGGCAAGGCTGAATCACAGAGACATCTCTCCTGTCTCTCCTCAGGAAGTGGCCAATCCCTGAAGAACCACGGGCAGGAGGCCTCCCCACCAGTTTCCGAGGAGGGAGGCAAGGCCCCGTGAGCACCTGCGACCGAGCCCACTCTCAGCACACCCGCCCCGGCCTCCGCACCCCGTCCTATCAACATTCTGCCCATGTTACAGATAAGGAGACAGAGGCTTGCCCAAGGTAACCAGAGGCCCTGATAGGGCCGGGCTGCTGGAGCTCCCCAGGAAGTCCCCAGGCCCGAGTAGAAGGTGCCTACCGGGAGTCGACGGCCTACCCTGGGCGACCCAGATGGAGGCAGGGCGGGAGGGAGGATGTGTGGGGCTGGGCTCTGTCCACCCCCCATTGGGGCCCTTGGGCCTGGCTTGAAGGAACAGGGGGGTGGGGAGGTGGAAGAGTGAGAGATAAGGGGGAGAATTAGGAGATAACCACGCTGAGCTTCGGGCAGAAAGCAAGAGGGGTCACAGTGACCCGGCTGGCCAAGCCCTGGGCGCAGCAGACTCTGTACCCAGACCTCAGACCCCAGGAGTGGGGGCAGCCCTGCCCACGGGGCTGATAGGGGCGGCAGGGCAGAGAGATGCAATATTGGCTAAGCCCTGGTGCCCTGTGCCCTCTGAGTCCCCACTCGGCCAAATATCCTCCTCCGCCCTGATTTTTTGTTCTGAGAAATTGGAAAAATAAATCCTCCCTCTTTTGGTTAGAGAAGACATATGAGCACAGGGGTGTCCGTTGTGAAAGGCTCTGTGGGCCCATGGGGGACTCTCCTGCAGATGCTGCCCCAGCTGAAGTTCCCATCTACCCCCAGCCAAACGGACTCTTCATTTGCTCTTCCTCTAGATGGACAGATGGACACATAAAGACACAAAACTCCAAAACACTGCCCACACAGATGAGAGCGTGTGTGCGCGCGTGCGCGCGCACACACACACACCTCTTTTTATTTCAAAGAAAACCAGAAGGCCCTAGCTGCTAGCCCTCTCCACAGGAAAGCAGGTGGCTAAGAGGCTCACTTAACCAAAGAGGGTGGTTTTCACCTTCCTTAGCTTTCTCCTGAAGCAAACGTTCCTCCTCTGCCCTCGGACCTCCCTGGCACCCCGGGGAACAAGGACATGTGCCGTCCTGGCCCTGGGGTCCCTTGCTGGCCTGGCCTGTCTGCCCAGCCACCAGCCGCCCACCCCCCCTGCTGGTCTGCCATCTATCTTCCCGGAACCTTGACACTTTGCAGCCTGCCCTGGAGAAGGGGTATTTATGGGTGCTGGGCTGACCTCCCTCCCAGCAGGGCCCCCCTCCGGAGCCCCCTGGGGTCTGATCCGTCTGGCAGCCGAAGGCCAGCGGGCTCTGTAATTCTCCAGGAGCTGACATGCCACGGGCCGGCCACGGCGCTCTCCCGGCCGCGTGGTCGGCAGGCCATCGTTTGTCAGCCCGGGACTGACAGAGTTACTGCTGTTTAAATGAAACCATATATCTGAGCAGTTCAATCTGTTGCCAGTCGGGGGCCTCCGAGTTGGATGTTAAGGGTGAAGTGATGTCAAGATGGGTCATTAGGCACTCTTGGCCCTCACCTCCCCCTCCCTGATTCCTATCTGGCGTCCTCCCGGCCTGCCTTTCCTGGGAACTGTCCAGGGAGGCTGATTGCCTGGGCCGACACACTGCCCTCCACCGAGCAGAGCCTGAGCAGGGACAGGGGTCTCTGCCACCGCGCTGCTACACAGTTGCTTTCTAAGCCCAGGGCAAGGTGGCCACGCAGCTTCTTCCAGAACGCTAGTGCCCAGAGGAGCATGGGGACGGCCTATGCGTTCTCACCCCTCCCGGCCAGACCCGAGTACCTCCTGCAAATAGAGATTACGGGGGACAGCAGCGGAGCGGACAGGAAGGAAAGGAACTACCCTGCAGCCTACCAAGCGCTCCCGTGTGCTGCGCCCTGTGCGGGACTCCCGGCCCGTCCAGGCTCACTAAACCCTCGCTACAGGTGCAGGCACGCATTGTGGGCTGATGTTATGTCAACCCCCCGTATTTTGTAGACAAGGAAACTGCGGCCCAGAGGAGCAGTACCTTGCCCACAGTCACGCCCGTGGCAGGTGGCAGAGCTGATGGAGCTGGAACTTGAACACAGGCTTCTCTGACCCTGGCCTTTGTTATTAACTTCTCTGTCACTGTCAACTCCAACACACCGCGATTGGGTGAGGGATGAAAAACAGAGACAGAGGGACATCTAAGCCGGTAGAGAGAATGGAGGAGGAGAACCCCAAGAGGGCATCCGGGCTCCCAGCATCCCTGGCAGCTCAGCAAGGACCCCAGGCCCGGCCCTGGGCGGAGAGATGTCATCAGCATCACAGGGGGCTGAGTGGCCTCTAGGGAAAGTTCAGGCTCTGTGGTAGGAGCCCTCCCTGCCCCAGGATGGGGGACCCCCCCACCAGCCCTGGCTCCTGGTCCAAGCTCTGCTTTTGACCCTGCCAACCTCTCTGGACTCAGAGGACCACCTGAAACTCCCTGGCACATGACACCTTTTCACATTTCTAGGCCTTTCCCTATGCCGTTCCCCCTTCCTGGAATGTCCTTAACCTTCCCAGACTGCTTTCTGGAAAGGCAGAGATCAAAGAAACCCCTCATTTCCTTAGATAGAGCCATTTGCGCTGCTGCTGGGCCCCACCGGCCCCCTTCCATTGCTCCCAGAGCCCTGGGTGGCCTGCATTGGCATCATCTGTGTGCCTGTCTGTCTCCTCCAATAGCCTGGCCGCCTCCTGGGTCCAATTCATTCCAAGGTCCCCACTGCCCAGCCCAAGTGCCCCACTCTCAGAGCGAGAAAGCTCCGCACTTCTGTCTCCCAAGATGTATTCTGCCTGGAGTGGGGGGGGGGGGCAGTGAATGGTCACCCAGAAGGGAGAACAGGGTCACTCAGCACCATTCCCGTTTTTCTGCTTTCCCACCTCTGGCTTTGCAAACAGACACCAGCCAGGGCTTGCCGGACCAGTAGGAAAGAAGTTCCACATGGCTGATGAGGAGGCCCTCTAAGGGCTGGGCTGGTACTTATCTGCAAGGCTCCATTACAGAGGATGGTGACCATGGTTCATATTCCTGGGCTCAATTCAGAGATTCTGGGAAGGGGAAGCAGGAAGGTTTGGACCACAGAGAAGCCAAAAGCAGGAAAAAACACTCAGCAAAGCTGGGACAAAAGCACTTCCCATCCTGCGTGAAAAACCCCAAGAGACTAGGAAGGCGGCCAGAGGAAGTGCCCTGCCCCTGGATCCAGGGTTCTGGAAAGCCAGGAATGCTCTGCTCCTCCCCCCCTCCGCACAGGGGGCTCATGGGAAGTCTGGAGGGGAAGCTGGCAACCAACCCAAGGGTCCTGGGATCCTCATCCCCAACCAGGGCCTCCAGCCAGGAGTGAAAGGCAGATGGGATCGTTCAAGGCCCTGCCTCTCGTCCCATCCATGAGGTTGGCCTAAAGAGGGGGCAAGGGTGAGAAGTCCCACCCTGCGGCAGATACAGGGCACATCCCCAGACCCTCCATTGTCGAAGCAGGAATCATCACCACCAATTCTTGATTCCCAGGGTAACCCAGGCCCCAGCCCCACGATGCCTCAAGGGCTCGCAGTGCCCACCTTCTGTCTTATCCCGCCCATGCCCAGCCCAGGCAGGCAGTGCCCCCGGCCCATCCGGCCACATGCCCCTGGAGGAAGCCCAGGCGTCAGCGCTGACAATGCTGCTCAAGGCTGCAGTGGCCCCGGCAGGGAGGGCAGCGGGCCCTGCTGTTTACATCCAGCCCCAGAACAGCCAGGGAGGCCGGCCGGGGAAAGCCAAACCCGCGACCGGCCTGGACTAAAGACGGGTCTGTGCCCAGGCCAACGAGGAGGGCTGGGCCGTGCCTGGGCTCGAGGGGCCTCAGAGGTTGGCAGAGCACCCGTTCACAGGGAGCCAGGGCACCAGAGGGGCAGATCCCAGGCCTTGGGCCCTTCAAACCGCCAGGCAGGAGGGCTGGGAAGTTCTTCCCTATCTGGCCTCAGTTTCCCCTGTGGCTTTCTTGCTTACTTTAGCTGCAGGTACTTCAATCCAGGGGAAGGAAAACCTTGCAAAAAAGGAAGATTGGGTCCTTTGGGAAGATCAGTGACAGGCCCCACAATCCCCCACCTAGTCCCCACTGCACACACAGACACATGGACACACACACACATGTGAGACCAACCATCGTGCACAAGAGATGCAGGGACAGCAGGACCTTTCACCTTAGCTGGGAAGGAGGACGTCCACAAGCATTCCAAACTCTGAGACACTAAGACCCCCACCTATGACATTTGAGGCTGGCAGGGATTGGTGGCCTCTCCAAATGGGAGGACACATCCTCTTCTCGACACCGGGCTGGGACAGCCAGAGACAGCCTCCAAAAGACTCAGCTAGTCCTTTGGGGGAGCTCAGGGTCTCAGAGGAAGAGAGATAAATGCCTACAGAGACCCTGACCAGATGAGAAAGGAATAGAGACCTGGAGGGCTGGAGAAACAGAGATGCAGAGAGAGAGCACACCAGGGAGAGAGGGACAACAGAGACAGAGGCAGAGATAAAGAAGCAGAGTCTGTGACAAATGGAGACTCAAGAAACAGAGAAGGAAAGAGAGCAGGAGGGGTGAGGGAGAGGGGGCGAGGGGCAAGGAAGGCTGTGATGGGCCAGAAACACTCCTCAGTGTCCCGAGTAAGGCCTCCCTGTGCCCCGATACTGCCTGCAGCCAGTGGGTGGGACAGCTCCATCCAAGGGGTAACTCGGACTGAGGCTTGGCAGCCAAGAGGACACCCCAGACCCAGCGGCCAGCCAGGCGGGAGGAGGAACTCACCTCCAGCTCCTTGAAGACCATGCACCTGCGTGCCCAGTCCACGATGGAGATGAAGGTCTGGTCAGCCATCCTGCACAGGAGGCTGAAGGGCGCAGGCTGGTCAGGGCGGCCTTTGGCTGGTTCCTGCAGGCAGCCCACAATGCGTGCCCGCACCTGGTCCTCATCTGGCTCCAGCTGCAGCAGCTGCAGGATGAGCTCGGGCACACCAGGCCCTCCGGAGAAGGGCTCTGGGTAGCCATAGGGTGGCCCAGGCTGCGGGGGACTGGCATAGGGCTCTGGGTACTCAGACTTGATGGCACGGCCAGGGAAGGTGGGATAGAGGTAGCCGGCCAGTGGCCCGTGGGTGCTGGGCACGGCCATGGGCAGTGCTGGAGCCCCAAAGTCGCCCAGTGGCCCAGCCGGTGGACCAGAGGCCAGGCCCTTGGGCTCAGGTGCGTGCAGACCAGGGGGCAGCATGTAGTCCGGCGGTGGAGGGGGTGGGGGAGGCACCCCCATTGGGGGGCCTGTCTCCAGCTTAAAGCCATTGGCTCGAATCTGTGCCTTCTTCTGCTGCTTCAGGGCACGGTCTCGTTTGTACATGGGCCCAAACTTGTTCCGGCCACCCCGCATTCGGTCAGCGCGCACAGCTGCGGGCAGAAGCAGAGGGTCAGTCCCAGCCCCCCCAAGCCACCTGCCATAAAGCCACACTCACAGATCTTTCCCGAACTGTGTCACTTCCCCTGCTCAGTACCTTTTTATGGCTCCCACTGCCCACAGATGAAGTCAGTCTCCTTAGCCTGGCATTCAAGGCCCTATTTACCCTCCTAGATCACCCTTTACAAGAGCCCATGTTCTTTCCACGCCACCTTATCTCTCTGCTCCTCTGCTTGGCACATCTCTTTCTTCCTCCACCCTGCCTTTGATATTCTTTCTGCCTCAAACCCTTTCCTTCTCTCATGCCTGCCAAACACCCAGCCCTAGGGTCACCACCTCCAGAAGTATTCCTGGATTCATCTAGGCAGAATCCACTGTCCTTGACCCAGATGTCCTGCCTCTTGTCCACTCTCATCCTGCTGAGTGGTATCATGCCATGTGACCCAGGCTGAGAGTTTCTGGGGACTCAGCAACGGGTTCAGGTGCCTAGTACAAGGCCGAGCAGGGAGATGGTGGCAGGAAGCAAGCCCTCATCACAGCCTTGCTCACAGCATGCAGTCCAGTCCCCAGTGTCCGGATGCTTCTTGACTCACTGCCCGACTCGGTCGAACCCCTGCTGCAAAATGACTCGGGCTTCCCCCAGTGCCTTCAAATATGAAGCGGAGTTTAGGGCTGGCCCCGGTTCGGAGCTGGGAGAAGGGACCTCCCTGGCTGACCAGATGTCCCTCCGCCTGGCCAAGAATGTGTCACCAGCCGGACCCAACAGGTGCATCTCTGCAGCTGCAGTGTGGCCCCAGCCCCTGCTCAGACAGGACCCCACCCTGAGCTCTAGGAGAAGGGAGAGAGCAGGAGGGAGAGGGTGGTGCCCAGGAGGGGAGGCGTCCTGGAGGTCCGTTCAGCCAGTCTTCCTGCTGCAGGCGTGAGGAGCCCAGCTCTGCTCCCTCCGCTCCATCACTTGTGACAACTAGCTCCCCTGGCCGGGAAGGACCCGGAGCTGGGGAGATGGGGACCTTTGCCTCTCATCTAGGAGTCCTTCCTCTAGGTGGCAGGACTTGGGGTCAGCGGCTCCCAGAGCCACTAGGGGCCTTCTACACTGTTTAAAACTTTAGCCAACAGCTGCGTGCTCTGCGCGCAGCCCGGCTGGGGCCAGCAGGGTGGAAGCCTATGACTGTCCACCCTCAGAAAGTTTGAGGTTTTCCTCCCCTTTGGGCTGAGAGGTGGGAGGATGTGGGTGGGAAGGCAGGGATGGGCCTGGGTCCTCTGGGACCAATTGTCCCCCCTTCCCTCGCCCTCTCAGGGCCCTCCCAAGAACATGGCGGGAGGACTTTCATCCACCAAGTGAACGACCTGAGCGAACTTTTGGGTGGACAAACAGATGGGTGGGATGGATGAATGACGGCTGTGATGATGGACAGGTAATTACATAAACAATGCTAATAATAATGGTAGGTACTATGTGCTAGGGTTTCACATAATTCCCTCACACTGACTCAAGGGGGAAGACACTACTGTTAGGTCCCCTTTTCAGATGGGGAATCCGCAACTCAGAGAGGTTAAGGAAGTGGCCCAGGGTCAATCAGCCTGTGCGTGGTGGCACTGGGACTTGAACTCTGTCCATAAAGGTATTAAACGCCCTGGCCCTGGGGGATGTTGGGTGTCAGTGGGGGTGTCGTAGGTCTCCTTGCAGAGGGAGGAGGTCTGCCCGGCGCTGCACACCCTCTCGGAGGCTGGAGAGAGGGTCATCTCCCGGGTGTTCACTTTCGGATACCTCTCGACCCAAGCCCGCAGAGCCTGCCCGCCTCCCCTCACCAGGCGGAGCCACTCCTCACCCCTCGCCCCGCAGAGATCCGGCCCTCCCGCCACGTGAGGGGCCAAAGGGCAGCTCCAGAAACTTGAGGAAGGCCACGGGAACCCTCCTCTCACCCCTTCCACGCCCCCCCCCGCACCCCCGACCCCCGCTGCCAGGGGTCAGCGGTGGGAGGCCGCCGCGCCGCGCGCCCACCTTCCAGGCGCATCCCCACCGTCAGGCACTTCTGGAAGCGGCAGAAGGGACAGCGCTTGCGCTGCGTCTTGTCGATCTTGCAGCTCTGGCTCTCGGTGCACGTGTAGTGCTTGTTGTTCTGCACCGTGCGCTTGAAGAAGCCCTAGGGGAGAGCGGAGTCAGCTGCGGGAGGCGGCCAGGCCCCGCGTCCCTCTCCCCGGGCCCCACAGGGCTTGTCCCCGCGTCCCGGCCGCTCGCCCGCCCTCCGAGCGCCTAGCCCGGCCGGCCCGCCGCCCGCCGCCCGCTCACCTTGCAGCTCTCGCATGTGAGCAGCCCGTAGTGGTAGCCGGACACCTTGTCCCCACACACGGGGCACAGCTCATCCAGGTCCTCGTCGTACGAATAGTCCATGCCCGCGGCGTCCGCCTGCGGACGGAGGAGAGGGTCACGGCGGGCAAGACGCGACCGGCAGCGCCGCAGACCCGGGGCCCGCGGGGTCGCCGCCCCCACGGCGCTGCCCCCGCCATCCCCGTTACCGCGCCCGTTGCCGGCCACCCATTCGAGCGCCCTGAGCAGCCCGCACTGGGATGCGGCCCGAGCGGCCCGCGCCTCGGCCTTTACCGCCCCTGTCCCGCCGCTCCTGCTCCGCGCGCCCCCCCGCCCCCTCTCCCGGGGGTCTCCTCGGGCGAGGTCTGCGTCGCGCCCGATCCGGGACCCTCGGTTCGGTGCGCTCGGATCCGGATTCGTTCGTCTGAGAACAAAACCCCGATTCTGAGAAAACGAGATGGGCTCCGCCGCGGGGCAGACACCGGCGAACCCGGCCAGAGTGGGGCCTTGAGTGTTCTGGGGATCGGACAGGGACGAGGGGGACAGAGACAGAGTCTGGGGAAGACGGAGAGATGGGCCGAGCGAGAGCGAGAGATACCGACCGACGCTGCCCAACGGAGCGAGTGCCCTGGGGCTACAGAGACAACGAAAATCCGAGACTGACAGAGACACACTGATGCGGGCAGAGAAAACTCGGGGGAGGCGAGACAGACAGAGAGACACGGAGATGGAGAACGAAAGAGAGAGAGATCAGAGACACCGAGAGGCAGAGGCCCAAGAGGAACCCTGAGAGAGGCAGACGCAGAGCCAGAGACACAGCGGTAGGCGAGAGACAGCCCGAGACACGGAGAGGCGAGAGAAGCCCGGGAGAGAAGAAGGCGGCGGGGGGGGGGCGGGGGGCGGCGGACAGAGACACTGAGGGAGAACCTGGAGAGACGGAGGCGCCCAGCGAGGGGGCCGGGGCCGGGAAGACGCGCGGAAAGCGGCCGGACGCGGGCGCCCGGGCTCCGAGGCGTGGCCCCCGCAGGGTCGGACGCCGCCGGGGGCTAGCGCCAGGAGAGGCGGAGAACGACGGCGCCCCGGACCGAGAGCCCGAAAGCGCCGAGCCGCCGGGGCCCCGGGGCTGGGAGAGACAAAGCCCGCGGCAGCGACGGCAACGGGAGGCGCGGCCCGTGCCACCGAGACCGAGACGTCGGGCGGAGGGAGGGCGCAGTGGAGACGCCGGGTGTGGAGTCGCAGGCCGGGCGTGAGGCGCAGAGACCTCGGGCGGAGACCCCGCGGGCTCCGGGGGGCCGAGCCCGAGAGGCGGGGGGGGAGCGACCTCGGGCGGAGAGTCGAAGTCCCAAGGAGGGAAGCGCGCAGAGCCGGGGCCCAGGAAGCGAAAAGGGGCGCGACGACGGCCGCGGCCCGCCCGGCGCCCACCTGGAGGCTCCTGCGAGCAGCAGCGCCCCGCGTCCCGCCGGCGCGGAGCCCCGCACCTCCCGGCCGCGCCGCCGCCGGCGATGAGCCGCACCCGGGCGCAGCGCCGCCTGCCCGCGATGACTGCTGATCGGGCCGGGGGCGGGGAGGCGGGGGCGCGGGGCCTCGGAACCCCCCCCCCCACGCACACCCAGTCTCCCCACCCCCCGCCGCGTCCAGGGCCGCACCAAGGCGCACCTGGGACCCGGGCCCCTCCGCCGCCAATGCGCGCTGCGCGAACCCGCCTCGCCGGGGCCAGGGGCCGGCCCCTCTATATCAGCGCGTGCGGTATCCGGGGGCGGAGGCCCGGCCCGCGCCCTCCCCCGCCACCCAGCCTGGCTAGCGCCTTTACCCTCACCCTCTCGGCCCCCCATTCCCAGCCCGGGCGCCTTGGAATCCGGGCAGGTGCTGGGCGCCTGGGAGCCTCAAGCCACCCAAGAGGCGAGCCCGTTTGCTCATCCAGCTTAGTCGTGGCAAGGGCCACTTTGGGGACGCTGGTCGTTTTGCAGCGTGGAAGTGGGTAAGGGCGAACGTGGGGGTCTATGGCCAAGGCACGGGTTCAAGGCTAGAAACCAGGTTCGTGCCCTGGCCCTGCCATATTTCCTCACTGGAGACTTAAGCAAATCTAGACACACACACACACACACACACACACACACACACACACACGTCCTCAGTTTGCTTATCTGCGAAGCGGTAATGATGACTGGACTTCCTTAAGGGTGGGCACGCGGATAAACCCAAGAGGTGTTGGCAAAACGCATGCCTTAGCACTGCGGAAGCGACCAGTAGTACCCAGCTGGGAGACCTGGGGCAAACCCTTTCTCCACCGTAGGCCTCAGTTTGCTTGGCCGGAAATGGGAATCCTCCGAGGTCTAGCGAGGACCTGAAGCCACCGAGGGCGTGGGAGCCAGGAGAAGAGAGGGACCCAGGAGAACAGAGGGACCCCTTCCCCCTTCCCGTTCTGAGCCCCTCCCCGGGCTGGGGGATGGGGAAGGGAGCGTCCGGCATCCCCGGGACAAAGGGGTTGCTCGGGCTGGGCTACGCTGAGCAATTGCTCTGGGTGAGGAAAGGCTACCTGGTCACTCTCATTTTTCAGATGAAGAAAATTGAGACCAGAGAAAGGGGCCCGCTCTCGTAATGCCCCCACCCCCTCCGCGGAGAAGGGTATTGAGATCAGCAAGGCCAAAAAGCCGCGATCTTCAAGCCGGGGGCCGCGGGGGCGGTGTGTGGAAAAACCACACTTTGGCACCCGCAGCGACGCGACCGACCGATCTGAAGACTCTGGCCCTTGGCCTCGGCCAACTTCGTCTGGGCCCCCGACCAGAGCCTCCCCCGACCCGATCCTCCCCCGCCACCCGGCTTGGGTTGGAGTTGGCACCTTGGTCCTGCGAGCCGAGGCTGGAGACCCCGCGCAGACCATTCCTCCTATCTTTCGCCCCGCGGAAGAAAGGGCGGAATAGACAGCCGACTTGCTGTGCAAGCTCAGCCGGGTCACTTTGCTTCTCTGAGCCTCAGTTTCTCCGCATGTAAAATGGAAAAGTTCGGCCCTGCAGAAGGGGTTCTGCAGTTTCCGTGAGATGCCGTGGACGAATCTTGTTGAGAAAGGGGAGAGAGCCGAGCCTGAGTTTGGCTGCAGACTCCCCACATGGGACCCCTGAGAAACACTAGCGTCTGCGGAGCTGGAGGTGAGGAGCTAGTGGCCTCTCAACAGATCTCCGTCGGGGAGGGGCCCTCAGAAAGTGGAAAACAGGACGGGTACCACCTCTGTAGGGGAGGGGAGGGGATTGAGGGGGAGGGCTGGAGTCTCCTGGACATTGCTGAGGAAGACTCAGGCAACGTAAGTCTGGGCTGGGGACCCAGGTGGTCTAGGGGGCTGGGCCCAGAGCTGGTTCTCCCCTTCTCCCTCCACCTCTACCTCCTTTTTCTCCAGAGGCTACACTATCCCAGGCTGGGAGACCTGCGGATGACCCAGGCTCCACTGCACCCACCCTCACCCACGTACCCAGGAAAGGAAACATCGATCTGGACCAGGCACGGAACGAGAACTGACAGACGGACATTGAAGACAGACACACAAATCGATACAAATCCACGGAGACAACACAGAACCACAAGCAGGGATACCCAGAGACCCAAAGACAGACCCAGGGACCATGGACACATTCATGGACTGCTAGGCTTGGGCCAACACAGCCCTGTGAACACTCGGCCACTAGTAGACAGAGGGACACCGCAGACCCCCATGGAGCCTGTCCCCAAAGGCCTAGCTCCTCCCATCAGCTGCCCAGGGAAGAAGAGGGGGTAGCATGATGGGAGGGCAGGTCTGGGGCAATCTCTGGCCTCTTCCCTGCCCAGAGCAGCGGGCACCAGTCACTCAGCCAAGCAGGCAGTGGCCGGCCCAGGCCGCAGGGAGGCACTGAGGAGGGAGGCTGGCCATTAGAGGCCTGGGCCCAGGCCCTCACTTACGGAGCGGAAGGAGAGCTCTCACGCTGGATGAGGGTGGACAGTGGGCACCAGGGGTCCGAGGGAAGGCTCCGGCAGCCCAGGTGGGGCAGTGGTGACCGTGGGTACACAGGAACTCCTTCACGCCACGGCGGGCGGCAGGCGGACAGTAGGCTGGCCCTGTCCGTCGGTCCTCCTCCTCCCCGCCCTGGCGGGGGGGGCCACCGGAGGCCCAATTGGTCTCTGCCCCCACGTGACTCTGCAGGCCTCTCTCCTTCTTTGTTGGTGTTTCTCTTCATTTAGGCCTATTTTTTTCTTCTCCTAAAAGAAAAAAAATACCCCTATCTATCTGGGGGCCGCGGTGGGGGTGGAGGCCAAGGCACTCTGGAGGCCTTGGCCAGCTGGATGTTCCAGGCCGCTGTGGGAGCCCAGAGGCAGGGACCCCATGTAGGCGGTTAGGCAGCCCCGCTTGTTAGTGACTGGGTGGGAGTGGGGCCTGATTTATGGGCGGCTCCCCCACCAGGCCGGCAGCCTGGCCTCTCTCCCCTTGGATGGCTACCTCCCTGGGGCCTGGCCCGGCGGGGTCCGGACTGGCCCAGACATGGGAGTGGAGTCAGGTCGGGCTGGAGCGGAGGCAGGGGCATGGATGACTTGACCAGGTGGCTCTGCTGCTTTGGCTTGATCTTTTTACTCTTCCAGAAGGTGAAGAGAGGAAGAAGGGAATGGAAGGCAAGCAGGTGAGCTGACCGAACACCTCCCGTGTGCATTCCACGTTGGCTGCTCTGAATGTCACCATCTGCTGGGGGCTGCTGATACTCCCAGTGGATAGCTGGGAAAGTTGAGGCTGGGCTGAGACTGCCTCCAGGGCCAGGTGGTTGCCTATAGGGGTCACAGGTTGGGCCAAGTGGGTAGCTAGGCCAGGATAGGGCAGGGCAGAGGGCAGGGGGTTTTGTCTAAAAGGCCGGGCCTCCCCACACAGCCAGGGATGTCCCTGTCCAACCTCCAGGTCCAGACTGGTCCTGAACTGTCCTGGTTCCATAGGGCCCCAATTGTTCTGTTTTGCACCCCTCTGCTGCATGACACCCTCTTTTGTGCATTCCTTCATTCATCTCCATTTCCTGAGTGCACACTAGATGCCAGGCGCTGGTCCGGGCACTGGGGAAAAGGGAAGAAGAAGGAAGAAGTTTCTGTCCTTCTGTCCCATAGGCATTGGTCCTGGGAGCTGGGGAGGGACACAGGGGGCCATGGGGCAATCACTGTTGAGAACCCTCTCCACACTCCTTCATTTGAGGAAACAGGCCCATCACACAACATCTCACTTATCTGGCTTGGGAGGAGAGGGATTTTCTGGATAACTGAAGTCGACTATATTTAAAACCTAGAGTGTCTTCCTCATTGTGCCACTTAACACATTCAAAAAAAAAAAGATTTCTTTATTTTAGAGAGAGTTTAGAGAGAGAGAGAGTGCAGGGGGAGGGGCAGAGGGAGAGGAAGAGAAGCAGACTCCCTGCTGAGCACGGAGCCCCTTGCTGGGCTCCATCTCAGGACCCTGAGATCGTGACCTGAGCCGAAATCAAGAGTTGGTCGCTCAACTGACTGAGCCACCCAGGCGCCCCCAACACATTTTTTTATTGTGAAAATACATATAAGACAAAAATCTCATTGACAGTCATAAGTAACTGAGTCCACTGATTAAATATACAGTAGTCTCCCCTTATCCGTGGTTTTGCTTTCCGCTGTTTCAGTTACCTGTGGTCAACTGGGGTCAGGGAGTAGATGATCTTCTTTGTGACGTGTTGTTAGAAGGTCAGCACGAAGCAGCCTCACGCTACGTCACAGTGCCTCCACCGTCCGGCCCACCCCCCATCACGTAGGCATTTTATCATCTCATAAGAAGAAGGGTGAGTACGGTACACGATATTTTGAGAGAAACCACATACACATAGCTTTTATTACCAGTGTGTTGTTATACCTGTCCTGTTTTATTATTACTGTTACTCTGCCTAACTTATAAATTAAACTTTATCATAGGGATGTATGTATAGGAAAAAGCATAGTGTATATACGGTTCAGTACTATCCATGGTTTTGGGTGCCGGGGCGGGGGGTGGGGAGGGTCTTAGAATGCATCCTCTGCCAATAAGGGGGACTACTATATTCTAATTCTAATTTCTACATATGACATAATATATAACTTATTTCCCAACATGCATGACCTCATAATTATGTCTTTTTCACCCACTGAAGTTCTTACAAGATATATTTCTCTTGCATCTGACTGAACCTAACTAATCTCCCCCATTTTAATGCAATGATTTTGTTTCTGGATTAATACCATTCATCCTCTGAACTTAAAAAAGAAATATCTCAGGAAGCACCTTTACATCACTGACATGTCACTTACACGTAACAACAATAATCACAGTCCTTTGCACCTCCTTTGATGGGAGACTGTGAAATGGGGTCTACTTTCACTGCCTTCTTAAACAGGGTCTTTCAACACTGTGGTGCCATGGAAAGAACTAGATTGGCCTGGTCAGTCTTCTGGTGAGGCTCCGAGTCCTAAGAAGGAGAAATGTGAGGGATTAGTGGTGGAGGCTGGCTTAAATTCCAGTTCTGCCATTTCCCAGCTGTGTGACCTGGGACCAGTCACTTCTCTCTCTGGGCCTCCCATCCTCTCCATAAAATGGGGACAAGATGAGACAATGCATGCACCACGCTCAGTGGCTGCCAGGTATGTCGTGTGCGCAATGTTAGCAAAACACAAACACCAAGCCGCAGGACTGGCGGGTCTGCCCTCAGGGGCCTCTTCAGTGTGGAGTCTGAGATTGTACCATCAGCCTGAGCACTGTTAGCCCTTCTGTGATAGTGACTCACCCCAGCCTGGGGAACCCTCATGGAAGGGCTCAGGGCTGAATGATCTGTGGGTCCACAGGGGCCAGCCCAGAGCCAGCGTCAGTGAGCATCCGCGGAATGCCTACTTGCCTCTGCACCAAACGCTCCACATGCTGCCTGTGGGGGTGGAATTCTGCTGCCCGTCCCTCCCGTCCTGTTGCTTTCTCTGTAGGCGGTCGGCGGACACTTTCCACCACTCAGGCTGGGCACTGCTCCCCTCTGATCGCCCTGGTTATGTTTACGGGCATGCCCTTCCTCTGTGCTGCCCCTCCTCGGCCCTCACCCCTACTGGGTGAGGAAGGCAGGGAATGGTGAGGCCCTAACACAGACGTGCCTAAGCGCCAGGTCCCCTGCTATTCCACACCTGTGGTCAGCCTCCACCATCCTGGGAGGTAGGTAGTATTTTCCCCTCACTTTCCATGAGCAGCATTTGAGAGATGAAGAAACTCGGGTTCAGGGAGACGAGGTATCTTCGCAAAGTCACAAAGCAAGGAAGGGTGTGATGGAACTAGGATTTAAATCCAGGCAGTGGGCTTGCAGAGTCAGCGTCCTCTCCCCTCTGCCAGAGCCCCTGGGTGGCCCATTTGTCTTCCTTCAAGCTCCAGCCCAGGTGGTCCCAGGCCATGAGACCCACCCAGAGGGGAAGGAGAAGGGGTGACCCAGGCTCCCCCCACCTCCCAAGCAAACAAAGCCCAGGGTCTCTCTTCTAAGTGGGGACTTTCCCAAAGTGCCAGGCCTATTTCCTGGTGATGGAACAAGGAACAAACAAACTAGAGACCTAGAAACTGAAATGGAGAGGAGAAAGAGAGAGAATCAGGCTGGGGTTGGGGCACAGTGTAGAAAAACAAAGAAAGAACCCACAGACAGATGAGGCAGAAAGTGAGAGAAGAGAGACCCACTGACAGCATACCAGACCCAGAGATGGTCGGGGGGTGGGGGGGAGAGGAAGGGAGAGAGGTGGGGGGGGGCAGAGAGAGAGCGCGGGACAGAGAAAGGAGAGAGAAGGAGAGGCAGAAAGAATGAGAGCCATTTAGAATGAGAGAAAGGAGAAATGGGGGAGAGGGAGACTGAGGCAGAGAGTGAGGAAAGAGCACGGGTCAGGGCCGGGAGCTAGAGGCAGAGGGGCTGTGGACATGGAGACCCCGGCAGGGCCGTGGAGGGGGCGGGGCTGCTGGCAGCAGTGGAGGCTGTTTCCGCTGCACCCCTTATCAGCCTGCTGCCAGATGTTCAGATCCGATGCCAATGTCAGAGAAGTCCATCGTGCCAGGTCAAGGCCGTGGCCAGCAGGAGCCTCAGCTGCAGGCTGGGGAGGGGAGCTGGGGGACGGCGGTAGACCTGCCTGCTCTTCTCCCTGTGCCTCCTGGTTCTCTGGACTGGCCCACACTGGGGTGGGGGGCACGCCAGGTGCCCGTGGGGGCTACTTCTCTGGGCCGAGAGCAGGGACTTGTGGAGGCAGAGTGCGGCTCCCGGCAGCACGTGGACACATACGTGTGCGCAAGCCCCCGCGTGCATGGAAGCACGTGGACACAGGCCCGCAGACCCACATGGGTGCCCATGAGGGGACCACTCACGGGCGGGTTTGCAGCTCTCCTCGGCTGGAGCCCCCCTACTCGGCCTGGTCACCCCCTCACCTGAGCCAGGGCTGCAGCTGGAGCTGGAGAAGTAAGGCTCTGTGGCTGGCAGGGGTCCCAGGGCCCACCCTACTCTTCTGCAAAGGGGACACTCACGGAATCTGCACGCCCTTAAGGGCTGGACTGAGGGACCTGGGTCCTTCTAGAATCCGAGGCCTGGTGAAGATCCTCGGGAGGAGACGCGGGAGCTGGGTGTCTGGCAGGGCTGGGACTTCAGCCTTGGGCCTGGGCCTCTCCGCCATGCTCCTGGAGCGTGCAGCCGCAGCTGGGGCCCCCTGCCTGGGATAGTTTATCTCTCAGCGCACACGCTTGGCCCTCAAGGGGTGACCCAGCCTTGCTCCCCACATTCCTCTCCAACCACGCAGCCGGTGGGCCCCCCACAGCCCTGAGACATGGCCTGTACTTGGGGGGTGGTCAGGAGCAACCACTCAGAGCCATCTCGCTGACCTCTTGGCCCCGGCCCGTTGCAGCTGTCTCTGTTTTTCTCTGCTTTTGTCTCTGAGCATCTCTCTAATGTTGTCTCTGCCATGATTAATCTGTGTCTACCACTATTTTTGCCTCAATCTTTCTCTGGGAATGTCCCAGTTTGTTTCTCTCTGTT